CACGCTGTGTCAGTTTCCTTTAAAAATTGTTGTAATATGGGTCAGCTTCCAATTTTCTGGTGTTGTGCATAGGCCTAGCGAATATGTGAACATCACGCTAAGCGGTTCGCACAAGATTGAAGCTGCTTCCCTCATTATGGAAGAATGAACCATGTCAGGACCAGGAGAAGTGTCTTTGCCTGGATGCTCCGGCTTCCAATATACCAATTCAGCTCTCATGTCTACTTCTGAGAGTCCTGTTTGAAATTTAAACTCTTGTTGTAGGTAGGATGACTTAGCTCAGTTTTACAGATAAGACTGAAGGCTATGGTGGCGTGATCACTTGTACTCGGGGAAGCCAAGATTGAGAGGTTGTCGAATAGGAATCCTTTGTTTGTAAAAACACAGTCTAGGCACAACTGCTTTTAGCTACTTTTCCGATGAGTTACTGACCTGACATTTTCGAATAATCCCATATCTTCAACGAGGTTGACGAGCCGAGTTTCAGTAGAGTTGTTATTTCAAATGTATGTTCAGTAAGCCTGACTTTCGAAAGGTTGAAGTTCCCTAGAATAGGGATATGAGCGTATTAAAAGTGAGTAGAGCGGATAGTCCCCCCGCAATACGATTTTCTAACTCAGTGTCCGCAATGGACTATCTGTAGCCAACTATAACTGGATACCTCAAGGTGTTAAACAGCATTATACAAATTCATCAAGATTGATAAATTCATGTGTGTACACTGGGTGGGCTACCAAACATGATCATAGGTAAAGGGCTACTCTGCCCCACCCTATCCCTGTTTTTCTGTTGTTGCGAAACAAAGACATACAGAGTACTGCTAGCTCCTGGTACGCAGTTTGAGAGGACGTTCATGGTTCAGAGATTCTAATCATATGGGTGTTGTTAGCATTGCTAAGTTCACTCAACTCATCCACTCTTTCGGCAAATCCACAGCGTTCATATATAAGCAATTTATGCAGTCACTTTGAAACACGTGAGCTTCCTCATTCTGTTTATCCCAATGACCTTAAGTGATTGCACGGGCAAGCTACCTACACTGGGATTTCCTGGTTATTATCCACTATTCTAATAAACAGAATGTCGTTCAGTTAATCAGTCGATTTCTTGCTTTTTACCCCATGATTTTTAGGCTCACTTCTATAATTTCTGCTTGATTTTTGTGACGCCTAACTCCACCTGTAGCGACTCTAGGATTACTGCCAGTCCCAAGTTCGAATAAAAGAAGAGAGTTGAGCATGGGTTTGACAACCCAATCTCGTACAAAGCAGCCTTGCTAAAAAACGCCAATCAAATCAACAAGTTGAACCATTTAAAATTTGATCTTTGAGTTGAAGGATTTTTACTTACAAGAATTATGACGCCTCATGATGAAAGCCGAGATTGTTCGGAAGTCACGAGGGTAATGCCCTTCTAACAACCGGAGCAACAAATTTATAGATACATGGAATGTCCGGACAATGTGTGAGACCGGGAGGACCAGTCAAATACTAACTTAAATAGTGGGATACAAATCGGCAGTGCTCGGAATCACCGAAACCTATCGGACTAAAGCTGAACAACACAGGTTGGGTACGGGATAGATGCTGCTATACTCCGATCACGAAGAAGAAAATGCTCCAAACACTCAGGGAGTTGCTCCTGATGCTATCCAAAGAAGCACGAAATACCCTTATAGGATAGGAATCTCATGGATCCAGGATCATCAAAGCATCCTCCAAAACGAAGAGCGAGGAAATCACAATGGATTTCATCCAGTGTCATCCACCCACCAATGATATCAATGACGACGGTACGGATCAGTTTTACGGGAGGCTGCAATTATTCTGTTGGGATGGCCAGAAAAATATACCAATAATTATCGTGTCAGGTCTATTGGTGGCCTTGAACTTTAAATGTAAATTACCTATTGGTCGATATTTGTTTCACTTGTTAAATATTGTGTAAATGTTGTTTTCTATTTTATGGTACGATGTGGTTTGTTTGACTGGTATATAAACAAGGTATGTTTGAAATATAACGATTCACAACTCAGAGGCTGTGACTTTCGTTCTGGGCTCAACTGGCTGGGTTAGACAGGGAAGCGGGACCAATAAGAACCCCAGGCCGTTCTACGTGTTTGTGCGTCTTTGGTCCGATCGATAATTCGCTGCCCTCTAATCAGCAGTACTTTTCACAGTTATAACATAATCATAGCGAAGTTCCGAAGAAGGGATTTGACAGTCTTGATAAGAGTTCTGAGCGCCAAAGTTGGAATGGACAACATCGAGTATGAAGATATCATGGGACGACATGGATTAGCGGAAATGAACGAGGATGGTGACAGATTTACAATCTTATGTGCATTCAATAAAATGCTTATATATGGCACCATATTCCCCCATAAACACATACGCAAAGCTACATGTTTCTCACCGTATCGCACAGTAACGAGCCAGATCGATCATTTCTGTATCATTAAAAAATTCAGAAGATCAATGGAAGACGTGAGAACCAAGAGAGGAGCCGACATAGAGTCAGATCACAGCCAACTGGTGGTTACCAAGATGAATCTGAAGCTTAAAAAGCACTGGACAACTGGAAAAATAGCATTATAAAGGTTCAATACAGCCTTACTTCGACATATTGTCAAACTCAACGAACTCAAGATAGCTCTCAACAACAGGTTCCGAGCCTTACAAGATCTACTGAAAGAAGGAACTAGTATGGAGAACAACTAGGAAGGAATCAAAGAAGCACTGACTTCAACAAGTCAAGAGGTTCCTGACAGCAAGAAGCATCATCATAAGAAATGGATCTCTATCGAAACCCTAGACAACAGCATGGTGTACCTGAGAAGATCGTCATCATTATCCGGAACTCATACGACGGACCACAGTGCAAAGTCGTGCATGGACAACAGCTGACAGACGCATTCCAAGTAAGGATCGGAGTCAAACAAGACTGCTTACTCTCCCCCAATCTTCTGGATTGTGAAGACCTTCACATCTCAGAGGAAGCACGGTATACATTGGACAGCTCGGAGTCAATTAGAAGATTTGAACTTCGCAGATGACCTGGCCTTCTATCCTATACACACAAACAAATGCAGACGAAGATAGCTAGTGTAGCAGTAGTAGTGCTTAACATACACAAGGGAAAAAGCATGATCCCCAAATACAAAATGGAGGACACAAACCGAATAATTATTGATGGGGAAACTCTGGAAGAAGTGGATGCTCTCACATACGCAAACGGCATCATCGATGAACAAGAAAGATCCGATGCACACATAAAGGCTAAGATTGGCAAAGCAAGGGCTATAATTCTACATTTGAAGAATATATGGAACTCAAAATAAAGCAATATCAAAGTGAGGATCTCCAACACATACGTCAAGACAGTTCTACTGTACAGAGCTGGAACGTGCAGAACTACCATAACCATCATCAAATATGTTCGAGTATTTATAACTAGTTTTCTACACAAGATACTCAATTTCTGTTGACCGGAAACCATCAGCACCAACGTAATGTAAGAGAGGACGAACCAGTTTCCAACTGTATAGGAAATAAAGAAAAGACGTTAGAAATGGATTGGACATATATTGCGGAAATCTCATACACATAGTTCCCTTTATCATTTTGAAAAAAATAAAAGCAAACATTTCAGCAGAATAGCATGAATTCATTTTATTTCGTAGATTCTCGTCATCCGCTTACAACCTGTGATATTCAAAATCATAATTACACAATGGGTTTAAATTACTTGCATGAAATGTTTGATGGATGTTACGGAAATCCTCAAACTACACCGCGAGGTAAGCCACAAATTCGAAATCTTGGAAGGAGACGGAAGAGAGGAAGGCCAAGAAAACACTGCGCTGAGAACTGGTGGCAGACATGAAAGGATGAAAAGCAACTGGATTAGATTCTCCAGGACAGAGTTTGATGGAGAACGTCTGTGGATAGCCTATGTTCCTCCATGAGGGGTAACAAGCATACATTCTGTGAGGTTTGTTTAACCGTTTAAGAAAATCAGTTTGGAGTTAGAATTTAGTACACAACACAAGGTAAGTTTGTTTCGTTTTGCAGGATTTATTATCTATCTTATATCACTTGGCTGAGCATGGTGAGTTACAAGCTGTAAAGTTGAGTTTGAAGCTATTAAATGATGGATGTCTCCGAACTGATCAACTACTACTTCTAATGAAGTTTCCCTGCCAGTGCAATAATGTTGATGTTCAACCAAATCGTTCGTCTATATTTTTGTCAAACGATGGCTCACTAAACACTGAACTAGTCAACAAAATTTTTCAAGGACAGCAAAAATGTGTTAATCAATTGTAATCCATTAACCAGTCCATTCTCCAGTGTTCTTGCTCAGTATATCTCTCGTGTGTATTCTCTTATAAGCAACTTCATAATTCTGGTAAAGTTCCATTCGTTTTTTTGCAGTCACCAAAACATTCAAATTATATGGATACCATTACGGAGTAATCCAAACTAGTCACAAACTACGATATGCATGTTCAATGTAAGAGTAAGATGTCGCATATTTCCCGTTCTACTGAAGTGCGTTCACCACCAATACTGGTGGTCTATAATTGTGTGGTCACCTCAAGCTGATAATAATAATTCTTGTGCAAAAGTGGCTCACACGGCACTGAAAGACATGAGCGTTTAATATTAGGAAAAATTGTGATGAAACAGGGCACTGAGAAGGATATACCAGTGGCCACTTGGGATCGAAAACTTTCTCACACTATGCTGACTCAACTTCTGGAAACAAGCTAGCGTTATTTAAAAGTGAACGAAATCAAGTAATTGATTTAACAGTATAAGCTAACTAGACCGTTTCATTATCTAAAATTTTTCAAGAATGTATACTTAGCCTTCTCCAATTTACAACATTTTTTGACGATATTTCAAAGATCATCAAGTCATCAGATATCACTTAGGCTAATATGTATTATGTGACCCACAATTTGTTCTTATTGAGTAATGTATCACCTTGACGTTGTGTACTATTTTGAATATTTTACGTAATGATGTGGGGTTGTTGTGTTATATATTGAATATATATGTCGTGAAATGACCTTGTACTCCTTGTTAAAGCTTCTAAGAGCTGAACTATATTTAAAATAAACCTATTCTTAGGGTTGATAGCGGCATATTTCCAAAAACATTACTAAAGTGCCAGCATGTACATTCATATGCATGCCGATGGTCGAAATCAAATATTGAAAAATATTTTTGTGTACCTAAAGAAGATAAGTGCTCACGAAGTATCATTCGAAGAGAATGGTAAATGATTTTCTTCTAAACATTCTGTACATCACATGAAAGTCACGAGTGCTGTATTTAATACACTTTTCCAAATCATGGAGATGTAACGCCAACTGACTCATCAGCGTATTCTTTACAAACGCCAGTTTTCGTCGAACTATTGTTTTGACAGCTGCTCGATTACCGTCTAATTAGGAACAGAAGTTTCTGAATATAGATTTACTTCGATAATGTATTGAAGAAATACGCCTTTATCACTGTTATTTATAAAGATCATTTGATGATTTTTATGAAAATTGTGTCCTCATAATTTATTTCAGATTTGTGTAGTTAAGACATAAGGTTTACAGCCCATGTTATTCTTTTTCTAGTATGCTTCTATGAGTGTCTAGTATTCTCTTAAATAAGTCAATTGGAGGCGAGAACATCACTGTTTCAGGTAACAGGTTCCAAGAATTGATTACTCGCCTTCGTGTCTACTGTCCCTAAGTTAGGATTGGCCGGTGTCACTGTTTGACACACCGTCTCATTTGCGGACTTGAATGAGATGACGGCATAATTAAATCTCATGAGAGGTGGGAGGGAAGCTTAGATGGAAGCTCTGACTAAATAGCCCGCTGTGTGACATAACACCTGGTGTTGTTATATTGAATGATGTATTCTATAAATACTACTGTTTACTTTCTTAGTAAGCCCCTTAATTTAGCAAAAATAACGTTTGGTGTTTACAAACACCAAGAAAATAAGCATAAATGATGTATGATGACCTTTACGAGTGAAACAAATGTTCAGGTTCCGCTTTACTTTGAGAATGGAGCTAAATGTCCTTATGCACGTAGTTGAGAGATCGTAAAGCAATTCGCAGGAAAATATTAACTCATATCCAGAAAACAAAGGTTTACCAGCGAAATCAATACTGTGTTTAGTGAAAAATGTCTTTGCTTCACAAGTTGCTGCCAGAAATAAAATTCCCAGCATGTTTTCTTTAACAGTGGAGCGTGTTGTCTTGATACATGAACTGTCTATTTCGGTAGTCTATTTCCTATAAAATGTATCTATAGTCTGTCTGAAGGCGGTAGTTCGTTCGGAAACTGTAAATCTCACGTGATGCAGAATGTAAATGGTTTAATAGGTAAGTGCAACGAACTTGCTAGAAATTAGAAATTGCTGCAGAAACTGTAGATAAAGCAGATATTAAAGTAATTGCAGGAGACTTTGAGTCAATAGAGAAAATTTTTTAAAGAAAGTGCTGAAATCTAGAATACTACGCTTACTCATAAGTTTAAGATTTCCGTCTTCGTATAGTTGAAGGCTTAACTCAGTACACACCAGAGCCATTGTAAACAAAAGGCAATTTAATAGTATGCGTGCTTATAAAATATGCCACGATGTGTCGAAACTTCTAAGTATACAATACATTTACGCCCCAATATGTATTTTTAGATATCTTATTTAAGCAAAGATCACACGCTTCAAACCGGCATATTACTGGAGTTTTATTTGGTAACCGTAGAAGACTATTTAAATTCATTGTTCAAAATATGCATAAAGCGCCATACTGACGCAAAATGTTATCAAGGGTTACTGCGTAGAAAACAATAAGATAAAAAACCATCACTATAGCCGGGCAGAGAATCTTATTCGTTGAGAGATATACAAAGGTGCATTTAGATGTTACTCATATACAGCAGTTTTCAACTGGATTTTTAGTTTTATTGCAATAAATTACTTGATGTCTTCTCTGTGTGTTTTCAAATCATAAATATTATTACTCAATTTACGTTGGGAGTGTCATATCTTTTATTATGTTTGTTATATGAAATGACCTTTTGTACTGCAAATTATGGTTTTACGGTAATTGTTGATAAGTGCATGACAGGACTGATTTGTAGGGTGAAAGTGTAAGATTTTGTTTGCCAAGATGTTATGCGAGATTTAGACCTTTTTTTACTGTCTTCGGATTTGATCATTATTAAGTTTTCACGAAACGATAGCTCTTGACGTTTGAATCATTATCGTTTTTTCTAACATCAACGATACAAGTGAAAATGATTTGTTTATATTGGTAGAAAAGAAAGAAACCACGAGGGAATTCATTGTCTATTAAGACGATTTGTTGGCATATTATATTAGACTATCAATGTTATTCAAGATATTTAAAATAGCCAAAATTAAATTTTTGTCAGGAAGAAAAAATATTATACAGACAAATAAACGATGAATAGATTTCACTCAAAATGTTTAAATTGATCTGTAAATGGATGAAGATTTCATTTCATGGTTATAATCAACATTTTGTATTCCAAACTAACTTAAAGCTTTTAAATATGTCGACCTGTTCATTTAAAATAATGGCGATGTTTAACATGAAAACATCCATTTCGATGAATTTCGTGTAATATTATGTGATGCGCTGGGGTTCAGTAATCCCTGAAATAAGGTGTCATATGTTGATAGTTATTGTGAAATAATGCAGTGTATTTTGCAATGCTAAGATTTCGAACGTTGTTAGACTCGATGTCATATATTTAGTTATTCATTGGTGGCCGTCTCTTGAGGTAGTATTTTCTGAAGACTTTAATTAAAGGTTAAAACAACTTGATGCTAAGAGGCACTAGGATATTAAACTTCCGGTTTTTTAATTGCATGTCCATATTCTTGTTTAGTTGATTTATTTGTTTTTAAATTTAATAAAATCACTATCGATATTTACATTTCATGAAATATTCAGTTGTCAAAGAAATATATCCCAGGGAACACTTTCGTTTCTTAAAATTCCACAAGTTAATTTTTGGATGAGATACAACGAAGATGAACTCCTTTAATCTTAGCTTTGTTATAAAGTCCTCTAAAATACATTAAAAATAATGGAGCATAGTGTAAATAATATGCAAGAATTACAGTGGATATGAGGTACAGAATACAACACTGGTCAAAATAGAATTGAATTACTCCATTTTTCCAAGATCATGAGGTTTATGACGTATATAGTGTAGGGATCATATAGATACCACTTTTACGTGTAGTGATTAGAAGTTTATTTTGGAACTATGATAAAGTTTTTGTGGAGGTTTGCTGAGTGGTTTTAATTGATTTGGCTACATATAAATGTGCGCAGTACCAAGAACAGTTTTCACTGTGAATAAATATGTCGTTTCACTCTTAGCTCGACTAGTTAGTTTGCACAAAAATGTATACATATTCATATGATTCCAAACTATCCCGTTTCTTACTGCATTAAATACATAGTATTAAGTAATAGGCATATCACTATATATATAGAACGTTAAGTCCAATTTTCATAAATTTTTAAGTTAATTGATTTTTACAGGTGCACGTTTGAACGGAATTATCCGTATTCTGTTTTATTTTCAAGTGTTTTGTTCAAAAATATATCATTTACTTCGTTTCGATAAAAGTATACTCACTTTATGTTACAGTTAACTATTTCATTATTTACCCAAGTACTATATGTACTTGTGTTTGTTTTCGTTGATTTGTCGTATTTACTGATGTCACTGATATTCAGGACTAAATTTTTAAATAGGGAAACTGCGTGGTGAACATAATTTCCGCTACCGTCTAAATATACCAAAGATAATTGAATATTATCATTAAACAGTTTGTAAAAAATCTAAAATATTTCATCTCTTTTTGTTTTTCAGCCATATACAGTAACAAGATTTATTATTATTATATTACACTGGGTTATTCGATTGAACGTAGTTAAAGACGCATTCCGATGAGAGTTGCTGATCAGCATTCTCGATGCATTAATAATCGATCTCACCCACGTTCCTGTACTTCAGAATGCAGACAACGTGACAAGGATCTGGAAGAAGTAGGTATTCAGAATATGTTTTTTTGTAAGACGTTTGAAGCGTTAAACTAAATGTTTCTATCGTAAAACCTTAATAATAGTCTATGTAATTTCTATATGTACTCCTGCATTATTTTGACAATGGATCACTTATCAAAGTTAATAATCTAACACTGAAAAACGCTTTAAATATTTTGTTCATTTTAAACATCATTTATGGGTAAGTTCTAGTAAAAAAATATCAACGCTTTTCAGTATTCAAATTTATTTCCTTTATATGAATCTATATAAAATATAAACTATTTTGATCGACCAAAGTATTTTATATAGAGTGACGCAAGAATAGTGAGGGCGTTTTGTTCACCCACAAGTATTTAACTATTCCAGAAAAATCCTGAGATCTTTGCTATTTTTATTATTACTCAGTCATGTATCTGATTTTACCGTAGCAACGTTTAATAACAACACAATGACTTATTAGTTTTGATAATCAGCATCCAAGTTCGTATTCAAATTAGAGAATATGAACATCTTTTACTTTCTCGACTGTGGTCATTCACGGCAATTATCTGGATTGGCCGATAGATGGGGAATATTTTTTATCTTGATATTTTATTCGAGATAAATGTCGAAAATAGTGATCAGCTAAATTAATTCAATTACAAAAATGAATGAACAGGTAAATCATTACTATTGTTGTTAGCAAATAACACACATAATGCTCAAGTCAATGAAATGACTAGAGTGGTCTTTGGAGTGCATTTCTCGATGTGATGTGAACAGGATTTCAGTTTAGGGATTTAAAATGATTCAAAAATGTATTTTCTTATTACTGGACAAATCTATCAGTCCATGTTGATATATGTGTATTGTCGCATTATATATATATACGTATAAAAACATATTTTAGGACTCAAACTGTGATTTTTTAGGCTCGTTCACGTGCTGCTCAACTTGAAAAAACGATGAGATGGTGGTCAGATTGTACAGCTAGCTGGAGAGAAAAATGGGCATCATTACGTGACGAGAGAAATTATCTACGAGAGAAATTGAGTTCAACACAAAAATCTTTAGATGATGCGACGGAAATTATAGAGACGTTAAAATTGGAAAAACAACAATTACTTGAAGATTTTTATCCATCGAATAATCAACTTCATAAATATAATTCTATTTCAACTATGAAATCTACCATTAATCCAATTTGTTCAATGAAACAAGAAACTAGTCAATCAGGAATAACAGAATCGAATGCAGATCAAGATATGTGCGGTATGTGATTTTGTTGTGTGTGTTTCATATCTAACAAACTTGTATTATTTCGGGAAAATGATTGCATATGAATGAATTGGTTATTAACTTTAATGTTCATTAAGAAAAATTGCGTACTACAAACATAGTATTTAATTATCGAGTTGGCAAGTGAAAATAAGAACCGAACTGCTTTCGAAGGCATTACTATGCTTATTCATGTAAATGGTTTTGTACCATGGGTTAATATAAATAAAGGATTACTGAGTAGTAAAAAGTACTAGAGAACTGTAACGTTCTAGTTTAAAACTGCTCTACAGAGGATTTCTTCTTCTTACGATATACAATCAGAAAAATCTGGGTCTTGCATTGACCATGATGTTATTTGTTCGCTGAGTCGAAGTCTAGAAGTTCACTTATCCGAATACTCATCGACTTGTAGTATGATACAAGTATTGTGTTGTGCTATCGGTAGACTTTCGTCTTTACTTCTAACCAGTTTTAGAAAAGGAGTTTTCCTATGTTTTTTCTGAGCGATCGAATTATACTTTAATAGCTCAAAGAACTCAAGGTTTGAGTTAAAATCGCTTTAGCAGCCATTAGGATAAAGTTCTAAGGATTCTCTAATTTGCATAAATTTACCTAAACTTCCCTTAGGTTTTAGTATATCTCCAATTAGTCCACGATAAAATTTACTGTCATATGACATATAACGATACAAACCCGCTGAATTATAAAATGTAGCATTAGCCATGATGTTTTCACACTGTTGGAGAAACCGTAACCAAACACTTCTTGGCTATTAGTAGCATACTGGTTCAATCTCAAAAAGGACTGAAATTTTGTCTAATTAGTAATTTTCAAAGTTAATGGAAATACACTTTAAAATAATTTTAGTTTATGTAAACTATCTGATATCATCGCATAATAAAAATAAAACTAGAAAATCTCGATAAATTCACTCGGTTTTCGATAGCTTCAATAAACTGGTTTTATGACCACGTGTAGTTTTTTTTTCAATAAAACAAGCTCACACACTTTGTTTAAAAATTCGATGTCTGTCCAAATTGATAGGAAAGAAGGATTCATTGGAAAGCCTATTAGGTCACTACTTATAACAAATCTCTTCCCATTGTAACATTTTAATTTCATTCTCTCTTAATTTTGAGTGAAATTATTCAAGTATTTTTACTTTGTTGCTTTATATTTCAATTATTATTCACTCAGGGTTTTACTCTAAAATCAATTGCCAAGAGATTTGTACAGTAATGTAAGTGATCAAATTTCAATTTGAGCAAGAATAGCACAATTTGTCATAAAATAAATTATTTTTTAATGGCCTGTCATCAAAAGAAAGCGATCTAAATGAGCTACGTAGTTAGAAGTAAAAGTTTGGGAAACTCTAGTTAATGAAGCTGCAGAAAAAGTTCGAAGGGAAGATGAAAAGTTAGTAAAAAGCATGAAAACAATGTTACTCAGTGCAATTAAGATTAGAACATGTTTATGTAATGAGTGAAATTTATTTAGTTTGATTTTTCTTATCAAGACAAAGGCAGGTTGACCGTATCTTCTGTATATACTAGTCTAGTTAGAAATATTTGATGACAATGGGCCCTGTAAGGTATACTTGATGTTTGTGTATTAGTTCTAAAGCCTTGATGAAATCTGCTTTAGTCCAATAACGACAAAGTACCTGATGATCGTACTTATAAAGCTATTGTTTTATTTCAGGTATGGGTTTCAATGTTCATGTTCAGAAAAACTTCCATAGCCTTTTCGATTAGTTGCTACTGAATACCACTTTCACAATTAAATGAAAATTCACAAATTTAACTGGCGGTATTTTGAGAAAAACATTGATCCACTTTTAATTCATTTAATGAATATTTGGTAAAGGAACCTGATCCTACATAATCTCAGTTTTTATCGATCCACTGAATGCCCCTCATTATATTAATCTTATTCTAATAACATACTTTATTTATGTAACCACTTATTTTTATCACAAGCATTATTATTTAAAATCTACAACTTTCCTTAATTTGATATATATGAATAAATATAAGTTAAGGGGAATATTATCAGAAGTACTCAATTAGTTAATTTTAAAATATCTTCATTTCTCGAATAAAAATAACGTTTAAAAGAAAAATAGATTATGAATCTTCACAACCTTATGCATGGGATGTACAATGGGTTGATAAGATGAAATGTCCTGTTTGATCAGTTCAAAGGAGTTGGCATTTTCATTTTTCTGGTATGAAAAAATGACTACTATCATGAATATTCAAAAACATAAACTACCTATATGGTTTTCACAACTAGATATTGTTTTTACTGACCATCCAATTCGGTACACATAGTGTAATAAGTAATTCCTTATGTTATTTTTATTATATGTGGATCTAGTGTTTTTTAAAATGATCAGCATCACTGATATCATTTTGAGAGATATTAAGAAAACTGAGGATCACTAGTGTTGTATCGTGTGACTGCAGATTAGACGCGCAGCGTATCTATCGACCGGATCAATGACACGTAAAACACGTACGAGCAGCCTAAAGTCCTGATTGGCCCTGTTTCGCTGTCTAGCCCAGCCAGTTGAGTCCAGAACACAAGTCTCAGCCTCTGAGTTATGAATCGTTATATTTCAAACATACTCTATTTATATACCAATCAACCAGACCACATCGTACCATAAAATAGAAAACAACATTTGTACAATATTTGACAAGTGAAATAAATACTGACCAATAGGGAATGTCCATTTAGAGTCCAGGGACACTATTAGATTTAACATGATAATTATTGGTATATTTTTCCGAATATCCTAACGACCAGAAAAACCGTCTTACTCTAGTTTGGGTCACATCTGAACCTCCATGACCCTCCTTGTCTAACACATGACTAAACAATCAGAATTTTCATTTGCTTCAGTATGCACAATATAATTGCGATACTGAGTTAATGCTGTTCGATGATGCGAATTTGCGATTTCAGTGAATTTGTAATGCAGAACCAACTAAATCTATTTTCGTTGGTAGTGATTAACCGTGCTTCATTACTGACTACGTTGACACTGTAGGTCCTGAATTTCTAGTGGTTATTTTTATGAATAAAGAATAAACTACTAAGAAGCATTAAAAAATTTTCAGTTAGTTATATTTATCTACGGAAAGTAAGTAGTGTATGTACACAGACGCACGATCTTTGAGTCTATTCGATTTACATTGTTTCTATTTATTCAAGCTATTGAAAAACGAAACAGATCAAAAGATATTGGAAGTCAGTCAACTAGGTTTTCACATAATAATCAAGTGAGTACTAAAAGTATTTAATTTAATTTTCTATAACTATTTTATCCTATTTACACTCACCTCCACTATTCAAAGTTTTATTCACTAAAGAAATAGTGAAGTTGTGTTTATTAATGTAGATGCTGAGCAATTTTATTTTGGTCTTAGAAATGTGCTTTGCAAACGTATTCTGCATCAGATATAGTATGGTAATTAGATTTAGTTCCCTGCTTTTGTTGACAATAATTAATACCAGTTTATTTGTCACAGAAGCTCTTCTTGAATTTTTGTCTGCATGATAGTTCAAATAAATGTATGGAGCCGTGACTGAATCAGTTAGTTATTTTGTTATGTTACCATCGAGTCTGTATATTAAATGCCGAGTTCTTATGGAAATTCTGACGAACTTTCTATGAAGAGTTAGTAAATCAATAATGACCACGCCCTATTTTTTTAAAGTCTGACACTCATTCTCTGATTATATTTAGTCAGTGTTTTCCAACTTTTTCAATTTAACCAACGATGTTTGCCGATTCGATTGCAGTGATGACCATCGATTTTCATTGGTTCAGCTTTTCGTCAAAAACTGAATTACATCAAGACATTATGGTGCTTTGCCATATCTGTAAACATGTGGCAGCATTTGCGTCATACAAATAGTATTTCGAAGATGTAAAGTGTAGAAATTAAAGTAACTACAATCTGAATTATCAAAATGCTTAAATTCCCCTCTTTTATTGACTTGTGGAAGAAGGTAAAAGTACAATAGTGAGAATATTTTTAAAAACTCAAAGCAGACAGATAAATGCAATTAGATCAAAAGTAGAAATAATTAAAATGATTTTCTTTATTAAAACAAGCAGTTCAAATACCCTGAGTGATTCTCAAAGAAATAGATTTACTCTGAAATTTATGTCCATAACCTGTACGCGCAAAAGCTCAGTTTTGTTTTACACAGTTGATATACATAAAGTCAATAAAATATTTCAGTTTACCTGTCAGTTTATCCGTCAACTTTTTTATTCTAAATTTAAAATGGTAGTTGTTAGCTTTTCCAATTATTGGTTAAGTATTTTTTTGACTCTCTAGTTCTCTTGTTTTTATATGTAAGTAAATTTATATGTGAACGCTTAATTTAGTTAGAAAGATACGATCATCGACAGTCCTGAATATTAACAACGGGAAATTACAAAACCTTTCTAATATCTCCACATCTAATGAACAAGTTAATGAGTATCTAGACCCATGTAGCTTAGTGAATAACGCATCAATGTGGGAAGAGCTGGGCACTAGGTTACAATCTGAACACTGAAATGGAAGTAGATGCGGCTGACATGTCTCTGAAAGGTCGAAACACACTCGCTGGTTTCCACTGTTAGTTACATGCCTAGTGTACTAAACTAAGAAGTTGCTATCAATTTCTTGAGCTTTCTTTTATCGAGTTAAAAAACAATATGAAGGTTGTTTTGAGCAAGGACTATTGGTGCCAGATGAAAAAGCATTGAAAACTATAAAGGTACGAGACAATTATTGGATACCAACTTTATTGTTGTATGGCAAATATAGAAGAAATTCTAACTCTTGGGACTAATTTATGATTTATTATTATTCGTATTTTGATTACATAGTTAGTAGATAAGTGTATTATTGAATTAATATACTCTCCCTATTGTAAGCTTCCAGCAGACCTATTGACATTTGTTATACGACTTATTATTTCTTAATTATTATTAATTATAAACCGTGTGAATCGCTCTCTACAACTTATGACATGATTGTAAAGTATGATACTCTAGACACAACACATCTAATGCACATTGGGAACAATCCAGATATCAGCACACAGGATCTGAGAAAAATAGCGTAAAATAAAATTCCCGGATAGGTAATACAAGATGGATTGGTGTAAACTATTTTAGATACGATTGGATAAAGGAATATGAAGATTGTTCATTATAAAGCTGATATTCATCACGGATAATTATAAACTATGTAACTGTTATAAACGAAAGACCATAACAAATATATATTTAGTTCGGATTTAAAATTACATGCGAGTGTTCCCATAATATTATAAAGTCCAAACTTCAATTTTATATGGATTCATAGGTGCATACTATTGTGTGGTCGTAGACTAATCGGAACATAACTATCTGATACTTCTTAAAAACTTATCTAGTCAAATACTTATTATCATTTCATTTTTATTTATTTATCTTTTTATTAAGAGGTTAAACAGTAATCTCGGTAACTCAATTAGTTGCTTATACTAATTCTACGAAAGTGTATAAAAAGGTTTCAGTATTGCTTTCATATTCTGATAACCAACCTATTGAACATGCTCTTGAAAGTTTCTTGTTTTTAAAGAAAACTTTTAATAAATTAGACGTTTTTGAAGAAATATAGTCATCTATTTACTACTACGTATTTTTGCGTATCTATTTCAATCTTTAGCCTATAAGAACTCAATTACTGGAATTGTCTTCAACAATCCGTTGGTGGAAGAATCAATGTATGAATTTAGAACAGGAGGTAAATCATTATGATTTCTGACTAATGTATTCATTTTTCTTTTTATTAAATTGGAATCTAAAAGTTTTGTTCATAATGGATATCAATTAGTGCTTAGTATTTCTTCAATAAATCTGAAATAAAAAAGCACTGATTTGATAACTGTTCATGTTAATGAGAAATTAACTTCATTTCTATTAAATTAAATCGTGGTTAATTTTACAGGTTATTGTGATACTTGACTATGAAATATTGTAAGCAGTTAATAACGAAATCAATTAACTAGCTAATAAAATAAATTTCATGTTAGACCATTTGCGCATAGATATTTTACAGGGATTAATAGAAGCATTTTAAAGCCTGTTTTTTTGTTTAAAGAAAACATTTTATTTCAGCCAAAAAGGTAAGTAATTTTTTAAAAGTGTGGAAAATTTTGAGCGGTAATATTGAAGTATCCTTTCATGAAGTTCATATGCCACGATAGTCACTGATCACATTCTTCCTAAAATATTAACATCAAAAAATGAATCGTCTTCATTACATACATATAAAGTATTAGATATTCAAAATGATCAAATCAGGTTAAGAAAAAAGTAAATTTTTAAATTAAAAATAACGCATAAAAATGAACAATATGGTTTCCATTTAGATCCTCATTAAGTTTTTACTCTTATAAATCGTAACATTTATATGCATATATGAAAATATTAAATCAATCAAGGAAGTTAATGAGTTAGCGATAACATTGAGACAAGTTACATGAATAAACATAATAAATGAAAACTATAAATTGGGAGAAGCTATAATCGGGTTTAGCACAACAGATCTTGGATTTTGGCAGAAAATTTATTCTGTTTGTAAGTCATCTAACTATATTTTTTTCATAAAGAGTCAGTGTAAGATTAAGTAAGTACGTGCGTTGACACACAGAGGATCTCTTTCTATACACGCTTTTGCTTAACAAGTCATTGATTTATTAAGACGTCAAGAACATGAAATGTGTTGTCAAATTCTTTCTCACAGGTGAATGTGATCTTCGAATCTACATTGTTGAATTGACTCAAGAATTCTCTATTGATATTCACATAGAAAATGGTAATTATATCGTCGATATAATGAAAGTGTAATCGAATTTCTCGTTCACTTCCTATAGGGTTCCACTTTCTAGTTTGGTTAGAAAGAAAGTAACTGAAATCGGGCTTAAAGATGAAGCCGTAGCTGTTCAGTTAAATTGTCTATTATAAATATTGTCGACGAAAAAGTGAACATTCGTCTTATGCCTGAAAAGCAGTTTTGCAAGACTATGTTCAGGGAAGCCAATGTCAAATTTTTTTCTGATATTTGTTTGCATTTAAACTCAATTGTGAAACACTGGTGAATAAAGGTACGATATCTAAATCAGCCATAAGTTTTTTACAAACATTTGCGTCTCCCACTTTGATAATGAAATTAAAGACATCTTAAAAATTTCTCTTAACAACTGGTTTGTGCAGAAGTACTAAGTTTCAAACTCTCCATCTGACAGTTTTGTGGTGTGAAGAGTAATACGCATATTGTTCATGCCAAAATAAAGCCTGATGGTGATCTAAATAAAAACAATATTGTCTGCTTTCATGTGTTGTTCTAATTAAATTTTTGTCAGTATTAAACTAATTCTTGAAAGTCAATGTTTAAAAAAAGGGATGGTAAAAAATTTTCCATCTATGTTTGGTAAATAAACAGGACACAACATTGTGATGAACGCAAACATACACATGTATACGCATAAGTATAAGGACAAATCAGGATAGAGAAACAATGAATAGTGTTTGGTTAAATCAGCATGGATTTTGTCGTCTTTTGCTTCATGGAAAAAAGACAAATTGTTTCCCATGCCATTAGGTTGTTTTTAAGAGAAAAACAGTATATTTAAGCGAATAACTGATAGCAGGATAGGGTGCTGAATTCTAAAAATTACCCCTATGTATCTGAGGGTGGGATGCATTAGTTTCCGGTGCTTATAAGTATAGATTTTTTCTCTGACTGACATAAATAGGTAAAAATCTTTCAGAAAATAAACACTAGACGTATAACATGTTAACATATAATATTTATGGGAATGATGTTATTCAGATGAATTTTATTGACTATTACTTTGACTGATGAAAATAAGTTACGCAGACATTAACTAGCTATTTTATTCATCCAGTATATTTTCAAATTTTCTTACTGATCACTTTACATATAACTTTCGCAACATGTAACTAGAGGTTTAATACATACAAATGGTACTTAGGAGGTTGTCGTAATTCGTAAAATAATCTTATCATAGATTGTCATTCATTGTGTTTCAACTCATTAGGTTGTGTCATCAGACAATCAAACAATATTCCTTAATGGTAATTTTGTGAAAGAGCTCATTATTTAGCTAGAGTTTATTTATATTACGCCGCACTAGAATGGGACGATTATGTCTTGTATGATCTAGCGATATTAATGGCAAATAACTTTATGATCAGTACGGTTTTAATGTTATTATAGCAACAACAGGGAAGTAATGTGTCATTGTTAAATATACTGATTAAAGAGTTAGGTTTTGTCCGGTATATTTGTAAAACCCACTATTTTACTGAGTAAATTCTTAAATCATTCGTCCAAAAATTGTTTATTTAGATGATTTCTAGTGACCAATCAATCACAAGGATAAGTTACTTAACGGACTTACAACAACAAAAGAACCGTTGAAGATTATGGGAACATTAGATGGCTATTTTTTGTTTTGATTTTGAACTACTCACTTATGAGCATTTAAAATCAGTCTTTAATGTATGGTCTGGTAGGTTTGAACTTCTAAAGTTTCACAAATGATAATGAAATAACTCTTTAGTCCTCATTGATTCTCCACCGATTCACCAGCTGATTTTATTCTGAGACAAAAACTATTTTCAAAAAAAAATATAAGTTCAGTATCAAAACGTAGACTAAATGTGGAGTGATAATTTTCTGCTTTTCTACACTTGTTTATGTGTATTTTTAAAATGAAATTTAAGCTCATAAAATTTGAAGCTTTTCAACTTTCATTCAAAATAACCTTTAATCATTTAATGATAATATTCTTTTATTTTTATGATTGATAAAGATTTTTCATCAAATATGATAATGTTTTTAGATTTTATTATTTAGAGATAATCAGTAGCTAACTATTGTCGGGAGCTTTATTATGACGAGATAATCAACATAATAATGTACTACACTTACTAAATTAGTTGAAAGGATGATTTTCTCACGGGACAGATACTAAAGTCTAAACCCAACTGATTTTAATCAACATAATCTTTAGTTAAATGGAATAATTAAAACTATTATTCATACAAAAAAATATTTAACTAAATGCCGTTGCACAAAATAGTTGTTTGATAGAAGGTAAATGAAGATCATAGGCGACTAATCAGGCTTTACTTATGTCTGTCGTACCAGCGATATGGGCTATGCTTTACATTTCATTTCACCAAAATGATAATTTGATAACGTTTCGTGTGTCTACTACTTATTGGTGTTAACTTATGTTTGTGTAGATTGGGATGAGACTAACGTCTACGAAAATTATTTTAATGCTATCATACTCAGTTTTCTTGAATAAGTGACTGTAAGTCCAAAAAACTCGACAGTTACGTATTTGTCCAGGAATTAAATAGATTCACGATCAAAAATAATATGGTTGATTTATTGGCGATTATCAGCACATTGTAACAACAAGTGATTAGAATTGTTTCAAAGATTTTGTGAGTTGTATACTTCTGTGGTGTGTGCTACTTATGTTGACAGATGTAAGTAGTATGTAGCACCAATCAGAAGTGAAATGCCTGGAAGTAGATGATCGAGAAGGTATAATTGATGAGAATATAAACAGAAGGTAATTGTAGTAACAACAGAATTGAAAGTCATGAAGCATCTAAACGACAAATATTGTATTTAGTCCATAGTTTTTATATTTTACCAAGACGTTCTGTAGTTTTACGTAGAACAATGATTTGATTATCACCAACAAGTCTTCGTTCACTACACTACTTTCGGCGTATTATAGTAGGGAACAGATTAGCTAAGGAAATTGAAGGAAATATTTAACTCTGATGTATACTTTTATTAGTCATGTATTGTGTGATCTGGATTTTTTCGGCGACGACTCACACTGTTGTTTTAGATTATTTTGTCACTGCCTATTTTAAATTAAATTAACTCGTTGGAGTCAGTCAAGAGACGCGTCTTGACATACAGCCATTTCATTTACCTGTAAAATAAATATCTATTATTCAAATTGTCAAAGATTAATTTCTCAAAACAGTCAATAAGGTTGTAAACACATATGAAGATAACAAATATCTCTGAATATAATCAATCACTGTTACTGTTTTTAGATAAGAATGATTCAACGGTTCTGTTTGTAATAATAGTTAACAATCTTGCCCAATAGACTTCGTAATTAAATCATCCACAACAAATAACGTAGTACTATTATGTTTAGTTAGTACTTAGCGTCAATAGTTACAATTTTAAATAGATTTCACTTAAGACCATTGATAATGGTACTTTGCATTACGAGTTAAATTTCGGTTCAAAAGAACATAAAGACAGTGGAAGATTAAAAGAGAGTGAAAGGTAGGTAACATGAAAAATAAATTACTGAGTGATGAGTTGAGTATTTCATATACATTATGAATCCATTTTTATTCAATTGAATATACACATTGAAATAAAATGTTTTTGGTTTCTTTTTTTCTCTCATTTACGACAGATTCGCCATCTGTTTGAATCGAATACTAAACATTGGTCAAAGTGTAAAATTTTATCGCATAAGAATTTTCTACTTTTGCAAGAAAATGATCTTTTAAGAAAAGAGATTTCTAATCTATGGTGTATTCGAGATAATCAACATGATGAACGCACTGATCCGATTTCTTGTACAAATAATTATGGACCACAAGGTAAACAATAGAAAATATGCATTGAATGGTAATGTATAAAGCATGATCAGTAATAATATAAAGATTTTTTCATTGTTCATGATACTACAGTATCACAGATACTAACTTAATACATGCTACGATAAGCGACTAGTCTTATTTGATAGTTGATACTAAAAGACTAGCAAGGATGCCACGATTTCCTATTACTTGGGAATATCGAATTTTTTATTTGACGTTTAGGGGTTTCAAAGATAACGTTCTCACTACCAGACTTGAAGCTTCTGAGGATGAATACATACTGCTTAAACGTTTTAAATTAGGATTTGACAGTTCTGAAGTGCTCTTGATCCATTTTATCTGACATCATTTGATGGGTAACACAGTTTCAAAGTTGAGCTTATCTATACAACCAAGTAATGTGTCAACTTATGACTAACTTCTAAATAAATTTCCATAATTCCTAAGAAAAGGCTTAATCCAGTTGATTCAAGGTTATTAAAAATCAGTCAGGCATAACTAATGGGAATGGATGACAGTCGTATAATTTCACGAATTCTTTGACTTTGAAAATATGCATCATTCAGTTTGCTACTCAACATCCAAATATCCTATGTTCACCATAAGACGTGAACGTCTTGGCTTCGATCCAAAATGAAGTTATAAGTACAGGATGCCGACGAATCTCACACTAAGATAAAACAACTCTCTAGTGCTTCACAGTTTTGAATGCTTCTACATCTATGACTGTCCCGCAGAAAAGGAGTTCAATTATATAGTCTATATTACTATCCACGATTGGTGTAAAAAAAGCAAACTCGTGGTTTTATCAATTGTCGTTTTATTGATTATTTTCATGTTTCAAGCTTTTATAAATCAAAGTACTTTAGAGCTGTTGCATTCAGTCAGCTCATATTCTGATGAAAAACTGATAAATCCTACTACTTAAGCTCATAGAATAGCCACTTTTCAGTAGTAATATCAATCAACGACTAAATGCATCCTTAGACAGGGCTCTGTATATATTCGGCGGATTTTTTCAGCTTATTTTTTTTACATTATGCTTAATAGATATTATTAAACATGAATTAAACTTATGACTTGATAGTTTTTTTCTGACACAACATTGAGATTCTTTCTGGTCATTAATAAATTAACAGCCTAATGAAGGGCGTTCAATTCATATTTGTGGCCATAGTTGATTTATAATTGCTACAGTGTACTGATCTAACTAATATTTTGTAAATCTGTTCAAAGTAGAAATATACAACTGGAATGCAGAAATAATAAAGTATTTCATACATTTTTTATTCAATTAGTAAAACGTTTCGTTTATTTTATACATATTCATACATGAATAATTGCGGTTTCCTATTTACTACCGAATAATTTGTTACTTCTCTGATATTTGATGAAGAGAAATGCTTTCTGTTTTATCTGTCACAATAGTAGATTGGTGCATGGTAGTTTAATCGATCCTAATTATGATTATTGGTCGTACTGCGTATGGTGTAAAAACGACTGTAACATATTATACCTAACTGTCTGTACCACTAATGACCTTCATAGGATTTATTTATGTTGAAAACCAGTTTTCTCTACTACTTTCCTAGCTTGTATTTTTGTTCAAAGAGAGATACGAATGCACTTTGTTTTCTGTCAAATAATACTTTAGAATACTGTTTGATTCAACTACTTTTGTGTTGTAGGAAGTCATCGATTGTTTGAAGTCGGTATTAGTTAGAAAACTGTTAGGCTAGTGAAATTAAATGACTAGCTATACATAGAAATTCTGTTGTTTTATAGAATCTTTTGGTCATTTGTGAAAATATTTTACTTGACTTCGGTTAAAACTCATGAGTTATTTTAGATAACATCAATGATGGATCAGCAAGATTATTTCGTTGTGCAACTGGTTAAAATCTCAGGGCTATAGTCTTTTGGGATTATCCTCGGTGATGTTTCAGAACGTTATTTTAAACATGATATTTATTTGCTATATTTTAACTAAACAATTCGATTTTATTAGTCTTTTACTACACCATATTGATGTATATTCATGTTAACAATGTTTCATCAACCCAATTCTTATAATTAGGTTGAAATTTACCTTAAGTTCTGATTTTAAAGTATTACCGACTATATGCATCTGATGAGAACCAGGTGAAATGAGAAGATAATTCCGCGTTATTCTTGTTTACTTTTCAAGTTATCGAAATGAACCTGAGCACTGTTGTAGTTCAGAGGTCAATATTTTCCGAATTCTTATTTTGATGGAGAAAACAGCTCTTATTTTTTGGTCTATATTATTATCTTTTAGAAAATAACCAAATTATTGGTTCCTAATCGTTGTAATACCGATATCGATTCGAAATGAAATCAATCCTAACACCTTAATGTAAATTCTTGTTACATGCATCAGTGTTGTGGGGTTTTTATTTTCTATACTGTATTTAAATCGTGGCTAACAGTGGTATCTCATTTGCGATTAACCAACTAGATGTATCCAAAATCCATTGCTGATTTTCATAATAAAAGTCACACTTTGTACCTATGATTTCAAACGTCAACGACTGACCGATTGCATTCTCCATTTTTAACAACTGGAAATGTGATAAATGTTTACAATTTTTTTAGTCTGCTTTTGAAAACATTAATATCATTCGTATCAACAAACTGTTAAAACATCGTATTTATAACGTTTATTCTTTCAGTAGAAATATGTTCAAGTGATTAAACTGAGTACAACAATGACGGTTTTCAAGACTATTACTTATCACTGAATATATTTATAAGATTGATTAGAAACTAAAATGTTGAACTACTCAACTGTTGACTAGAATTTACCAATTCCAGTTTTTTAAAATGGGTTGTCGTAGTTAGTACAAAATAATCAATTTATTCACTGTTGATTATAATAGTTATTGATATAAAATAATTATGGAAGTTTATTCAGTAAGTCTTAGTGATGATTTGCGAATATGCTTTTGGGAATCTAAAAGGTTTCATATCGATAAATGTGTATCGTCGCATTATATATATATATATATATATATATATATATATATATATATATATATATATATATATATATATATATATATATATATATATATATATATATATATATATATATATACTTGTGATTACGCAATAGCTGTTGTCATATGCACTCATTTTTGTGTTAATCGAATCAGAATTGATCAATTTACAATTTTCTTTTTTTAGTTTTAATGACTTAGTGTTGGTTGCAGTAAGTTTTCGGAGTTAATTTATCTTCCGAGTACCCTCAACCAATATATATAATAGTATAACATATTACACGTACTTTATTGCTTTGTACTTTAAACGTTTACTATTTCTTCTTATTTGTTTCATTTCTATTCATTTTAGCATCAAATGAAAACATTGAGTGTGACACATACAAACAAAATGTTAGTAATATTTCTTTACTTGTTGTTTAATGTTTACGTTGTTATAAATACGTGTTTTTCTCGTGAAGTATGAAATTATTTAAATAATATAACTTCTAACTATAGATTGTTAGGGGAATGATTCAGAGCCAAGAGGAACACTGAACAACGTTTTTCATTTACATTGAATGTATACGATTGAGAAATTACAAACTAGATGTTGTTCATCCGTTCTCCGAGCAAGCTTAGTTTTTGGTAGAGATGTAATTACAAAAATGTACAAATATATTATCAGAAAACTATCCAGCATTTAAGTTTATGGGTATCGTTTTTTAATTACTCTGAAGAAATGACTCATATTAAGTCGCGAAACGTCAGAAATACAATTTTTTTACTTATTAGGATACAACAAAATCTATATTTACTATTCAACGTATAGCTTGATAGATTGATTACTTATTATTTAACATAAATAATTTGTGAGTGGATGGTTGATTAGTCCAAAAATTTTATTTCTGCTCATTGAATTAGAATTCATATTTCTTATCTAACTGTCTCAATAAGGTCATAATCTCGTGATCACATTAATACCTGTCATCATAACAAGTTAGACTTGGAGTTAGGTAAAACGTTTACACCCAGCTAATGAATTAGACTAGTTGATGCTTAATTCGCTTACTTTATTCAGTGATGAGATTTCTGAATAAATCAAAGTTAATGTCAACAACTTGCACTGATTAGCATGAAGTAAATGTTCACACACACACATATAACAGGTCTTGTACAGCTCGTACAACGTATTTTTAACTTATCGTTTTCAATAAATATGAAATATTAAGATAAATAATTTAACCAGTTCTCCTTCAACTTTCCTACATGATACATAATAAAACGAGAAAAACAGATTTAATCATACTTAATTTCAATATTATTGGTTAATAACATTAATTTCATAACAGGAATAATTGTTTACCGGTTATCAGTAAGAACAAAACTTGGTAGTGAAAATCTGTGACTCTTTCCTTTTCATATTTTAAAAACACAAGACAATACAAAGTTCATTTTATGCTAGTTTGTTATACATTTAGACTTTGCAAAACAATTTTTTTGATTATTTCAACATTATAATCATAAAGGTACATTTGGTATTGTAATACCTGCGACTTAAGGCAATAGTGAGGCAATCCGTACATGATTCACATATGCCAATAAGAGAATGATCAATTACAGACCTGAACATCAAAGGAAAGATTCAAACAAACAACACAAAATGAATTTAAACTTCTCCCCATTGCACAAGTAAGTGTCCATCAGGACTCAGTAGCTACGTGGATAACACGACGGTGTTTGAAGCGAATGGTAATGGGTTTGAGTCCCGGAGTGAATATCAACTGTGTGATGCAGGTACTTCTAACTGACAAGTTCCAAATAGGGCTAGACACAATTCTTTGATTCCACTACTAACCACTATCCATCTTAGCTCATAATCATGAAAATAGTTGTAAACTGTGTAATAGTGAAAAGTATTCCTACTAACTGACGGTAACTTATGAGCTCTTTTGCTATCGAAGTGGAGAATTATGATTTCAAAAACAAAATTCTATACATTATGAAAAGTGAAGTATTTGATCGATCAATAGTACATTACACTCGGTTTCCTGACGATTACAAGTCATTGTCATATGAAACTCTGGTTGTTTTTAAAAGTAATAAAAGTGTCTCGAATAGAAATAAGATTCTAGAAGTTCTTGTGTACTCACTGCTTGAATAAGAATCTAACTGAAGAGTTTATTCATGAGTTAGATTAATCAAATTTAAGTAATCTGTTAGCTTTCTAGTACAAATTCATGCAAATTTAATAATAACTGATTTTCAGTATTTACATAAAAGATACAATCTTTTAACTTTTTTGAACTCTCAAAGAAATTTTTGTTGCTAAAGGACCAACTTGTACTCATTGATTAGTAAGTGTTTCTTAACATACTTTTCATTTGTTATCTTTCATATTAGTTAATTTTTGTATTTCAATAATACATTCGAGCTTTTATCAGAACATTAGTGTGTTTATTCTGTATCCTAATTAACCGACGTGATAGATTAAGTTTACCCAGAAACACTTTCTAACAAAACGTTTTGTTAATTATATTCATTCGATAATGATAACTTGAATCTTGTTCAATAAGTACTGAACTGCGGTTTCAGTAAATTATATTGATGATGATGTTGATGATACTTAAATGTCAGCTCGTTAAATTTCTTACAGTTTTAAACGCTGTGATTGTAAAATTATTTTGATTTAAAAAAACTATATAAGTATTATCAACTATTTTCACAAACTTCTTTTTGTTTTCTAGATTGAAAATAGAGAAACATCAGTCGAGAATTTATTATTACAATTATCTGAAAGAAATTGTCAGCTAGATTTATTACAGCGTCGTTTATCTTTTATGTTACACGAACGTACTGTACTTTGTCATCAATTAGAAGAAATGAGTATAGGAAAAGATAAATCTGAATATAAAGTAGGTTCATTAATACATGTATATTCGTATGAATATTGAGTTAAATAAATTAATTATATTTTGTTTATTTATTCACTACTTACCAAACTATCACTTCAACAAACTGACATAATTAACAATTGCAAAGTAGATTATTTATATTCATGAAATTCAAATTAAATTTTTTTGTCGTCTATTTATAGATAGTTGGTTTGTTCAGATATATTTTATCACTGAATTAGTTCAGTTTGAGAACCGTTGATAACCCTGGAGGGTTAACTCATTCCAGCCTGAACAAATTTTCACGAACCACTCATTTAAATAATAATAATGATAACATATAGGCTTTTAAAATTACTCCCAATATTCTAGTGTCTTTCCCATTTGAAACAAGCCATATGGAGATTCAAACAGTTGTCAGTGACTCCACTGAACGATGGCGACCCTACACTTCAAATCATCAAAAGTCGAGAAATAGGACCTTTGAATTTTGGCTCACCTGTCTAAAGATATTGTGATCATTGCAAGATAAAAATATCTTGGTTTTGGCCTTGTATTTATCATGAGCGTACTCTTCTGTCATCTGCTCTATTCAACATTTAGTAAAGAATATAATTGGAATGAAAGAGGGAAAAAATATACACCAACTAGGTGTAACACATAGACACTAAGGTGATAAAATATTGAGGATTTAATGGGTGGTAACTATGATAATAAGTAAATACAATTTCATTAATGTAAGTAATTAAAATTTTGACATTTGGTTTGCGTAATAAGATTTCAACATTGGTTGAAAAGGGAGTTAACAGTATTGACTATAAAAGCTCGGATTAGTTTGCTGGACTAAACTCTTAAACCACTTTAACTTGGGTCATTAAGATTATTTCAAGCATAATTTTCATATATAATGTTTTCTGCATTCCTGGCACCTGGATTTCGTCAAATTGATTCTTTCAATTTGACAAATAAACATATCTATCCATATGGCTTTGTTTTCGTGTTAATTTAGCCTTCTATTTAATTGGTGAATAAGCGTCTATTCATTACCTATCAAGCTGTGAAAGAAATAGTCACATAGGTAGTATGTAAGAGACAATTCAAGGTGCTTAGTTATCAGACTATTTAACAAGCGACTTGTTTTGAGTTAACTTTCGGATAGGTTCATTACAGAAAGATTCATCTTAAATAAGTAAGACTTTAAAATAATGATGTCAGTCAGTTAGTAACAACGTGGAACTTCGTACGTACGTACATCAGTTCGAGTTGCCACACCACATTAGCACACAGATGCAGTGGTCGATTCAAATCCCGTACTGGTAGAGGCAATAAGAGTATAAGCAGTAATCGGGAAAATTAGTGTTTGGAGATGTTATTTAAAGAGTATAATATAGTGAAATAAATTTGGGAAGAGGAAAAAAGAGACAAGGATGAACAAGGAGATCAAAATTTGTGAGAACACAAAGAGTGTATGCACCTGCGCCATTGCAAACGATTCTGAGCCATGTCATTCAGGGTCTCTAACCATTGGTTGTTATCATCTCGCGGTCCCCAACCAGGTAGTCTACACCTACCAACATGGCTCAGTCCACTTGCCAGTGACTTCATGGACTTGTGCTGTGTTTTGGTCTGGCCGCCCCTAGCTTTCTTCCAACCTACTCTTATACCACTGAACATCGCACGTCTAGGCAGTCAGTCGTTGGGCATACGTAACATGTGTCCCGGCCATCTCAACTGATGAACTTTCACTACGTCATCAATTGATTTGCCATCCTTACCTAGTACCCGTTTCCTAACAACTGCGTTTCTTACTCGATGGTCCCACGATATACGAGCAATATTTCGAAGACACCTATGATCAAATACTAGTAACCTACGAATATCCTCTACTCTTACCGGCCATGTTTCACTGCCATAAAGTAGGACGGAACGAACTGCTGCGCAGTAAACACGTCCTTTGGTTGATAGACGGATATCTCGCCTACGCCATAAATGACGCAAGTTGGCAGAAGCTAGTCGAGCCTTGTGTATCCGTGCTGAGGTTTCCTCACACACCTAACGACAAGGGCTGATGAGACTTCCAAGATAAGTGAGGCGATCGACACGCTCAACTACTTCGCTCCCTATCATTAGTTCGGGTGTCGATGCAACCCAATCCTGAAGCAACATTTTGCATTTCGAGGGGAGAATCGCATCCCGAACATGCTTGCATTGTTGCTTAGAGTGGTCAGAAGACTCTGCATTTTGTCAGTGTCCTTCACCAAATAGAACTATGTCATCAGCATATTCCAAGTCAACAAGTGAATCTCCCGGTAGATGTTCAACCCCTGGAAATTTAGATGAGGAGAGTGTTATCTCTAAAAGTACGTCGGCGACAAAGTTTTTCAGAGACAACTAGAAAAACAGTTAGATCCCAGAACATAGACACACATTCAAACGCCCCACAATCGTAGTATTTCTTGACCTTAAGGCGGCATTCGACTTTGTTGATCGTGAGGTTCCATGGCAGTGTCTGCCACTAAAGGGAGTACCAAAGAAGTATATTAACCTTGTAAAGTCTCTCTACTCGAACACAACTGGTCGAGTGAGAGCTTATTCAGAACAACAATGGAAACTTTACACTAAAATCATGCAGAGCATAACGTACACCCTCATTAAACAAGTACAATAACCGTATACTGTTTACACCAACTAAATGTACTTCGTAATTTGACTAATCGGTGCATGTCAGAAAATATAACTATCGTAATTCGGAAATGTTTTATTATTTTTGTTAAACAGTATCTGTTCAACAGAGCTGCCAGTTTCTAGTCTTGTTTGAAAACCCATTTTTTGATAAAAACCATAATTAGCCAGTAAATCAGTTCGATATAAAAATAGACAGTTACTCTTCAAAATTCCGCCACAGATTGTTATACCTTTTTTTAATCTAATAATGAATATACATTACATTATCCAATATATAAGTATAATATGAAACATGTACCAGCTATTCTACTCCATGTCAATCTTTATAATACATTCTACCTATCTGATAATACGTGATTTTATAGTATCAATATATTTTTTACTTGTATGCAAGTAAGTGTCATAAATAACCTAAGACATGTATATATTTATTCTGCTTTTTATGACTAGAGTATTAGCTTTCGGACACAATCGAATATAAACTTAGTACTAAAATGGTGTCCGAAAATTGGAACATGTAAATGAACCAAAATTAATAATATGGAAAGAAAGAAACTGATTTATTTGTATCTTTAGTGTGTCTATCACAAGCAAACACGATGTAATTTAGCATGATGTGTATTTCAAAATTATTGGTTATTATTCTTAATAATTTCCATTGTTTTCTTGCAAATAACAGTAGGAGTTAGTACTAAATAATAATAATAATAATACTTAGAAATTCTGTGGTATATATGGTGTATATTCTGTCTAGCCTGTCATATAAGACTAATTAAATAACTGTAATTTCTTGAAACATGGATTCACAGAACAAATGAAAATTTCAAGTAAAAACATTCGGATTTAAGAAGTCAGGTAAATGACTACATAGAAAAAGAATTTTTTAAAAATTTGAATGTTAGAATACGGAGCTTGTTGAAATTGTACATCTCGAGATTAATTTTCAGTATAAGAGGATCACGACTAAACATATTTATGCTAACCAGATGATAGCGAACGGCTATTTTGTTTTAGTTTAAATCTGTTTTGTAATGGATATATATTTAGGATCCTAAATGAGATGAAAGCCAATAATAGTTAGTTGACTTAATCTTGTGATCATAGATCCCAGTATCTTTAGGATTTGTGTAAGTAAAATGTTATGAAACATATGTAATTGTATTATATCAATGTAAATCACTTTTGATAAAACTAATCTTGTTAAGATATTAATTAAATAATTCCGAAGAGTTTGTCATATGCTTCATTTTATGTATTACGACATAAAAACTGTTTTCAATAACCGATTAGTTTATTTTTATTTCAGAATAAAGTTTTCATTCGTTTTGTGGAAGGATAATACCTTAATATCTAAACAGTTGATTTACTAACCAAGAATATTCTGTGGTGGTCGATATTCAGTGTAATCCTTAAACTTCGTATACTGTTCGTCCTGATAACCGTCACTAGATAACGTCCCAACGGTGTATTAATCAGAAGGCGAATCCGTAGTGTTGACTAAGTTTATTATTACACCACGCAGAGATCACCAAAATTACAAGTAAGCTAAGCGAGCATGAAAGAGTAGTGCCGAAAAGCAAGAGGGCAAGCGAGTGAACGTGAGAGTCGAATGAGCGAGCAAGTGAACAGGAATAAAATGTACATGTATATACATAGTGACATGAATGAATCATCGAATCAGTTAAGCCACTAATAGTAAAGCTAGCACAATAAATATATGCGTAGGCTGTAAGCAATGCTCAAACATACATATTCATATAAGTGCAACAATAATAAAGGTATAATGATTTAAGTTTTTATTGTACGAATGACTGTCCGTTAAATGGGTTAACAAAAGTGCTTAACCATATTAATGTGAATAAACTCAATTGCATGTGAGCTGCTATAATTCTTTGTAGAATATTTTATAAGTCCAATTACTTGAACCAATTTTACAATAAATAAAGTAGAGGGAAATTTTGGTTTTTTTTCCCAAATCACAAAAAATGTTATATCTAAACAGAATGTAATCATTAACTGACCTTATTCAACACTCGATGTAACTGCTGGCATCATATAAACTGACAAACTTGGAAATAGAAAAAAATTACAGCTAAACAATTTATTTCATTTACTTCCATGTAGGTAGACAAAAACTAGTGAGGATCTTTATGCAAAGATGGATAATGGTTGGCACTGAAATCCGGGACGCGCGTTTCGTCCTATTTGAGACTCGTCAGCTGGATGTACTAGCATCCCAGAGTTGATGTCAACTCCGAAACTCATGCAGGTACATGCAGCTGACAAGTCCCAAATAGGACGAAACGCGCGTCCTGCAATCCACTGCTAGACACTATCCATCTTTGCTTAAAAAGCTCGCGACTTCAGGCTATGTCGAGGCAATCCGCGCAGGATTCAAATACTCCAACATGAGACCGATCAATTGCAATCCTAAATAACGATCGAAGATACAAATAAAACAACACCAGGTGAATTTAATTAGTGAGGATGATATTAAAGTAAATACCATTTCCAGAACATTTCTCACATATAATTAAAAAATAGTATCATTTTGAATACTAACTGAAGTAACAATAATATTGCATTGATATCTATTGTTATTTTAGAACACTATTCAAATCAGAATCGTATGTTTTTCACAGGTTTCATTGTTTAATTTTTTCTGGCTAGAGTTTTTTCAGCGAGTTAGTTTTCTACGGGATGGTGTTGCTAACCTCATGCACAACCCTCCTCCTTTATATGGGCTTGGGACCGGCAGTAACCCCAGAGGGGGCTCCAATTGCAGTTAGTTTTCATTATATACTCCCATTAAATTTATACATCTTACATAGCATTGAAGTCACTGGCTAACTTCAGTATTATCCAAATGAAAAACGATTGATAGAATTTCATTTATAGTACAAAGGGACGAATGTTGGTCTATGTTCTTTTTCAAGTATTCCATCTAAAATCATGATCTTGTTGCATTTTTTCTTTTATGTTTAAACAGCATATTATATAATGAATATTGTTAAATTTACCAATGTTACTTTCAAGATTATAGATATATTATCAGTATAAAGACACTATATGACCTTGTAAGTGACAAGACTTTGTTTCAATCAAAAGATAATTTGATTTTTATCAAACATTTAAATTGATTCCAAATAAATATCTCTTCTTGTTTTAGACATATCTTACTGCCAAGAATATAAGAACGCATTTCATTGAAAATATTGAAACATTAAAAGATGATTATTCAAAATACTCTTATAGGTAAGATGATATTATTAATTCACTTAATATTACAATGCCAATCATACGAATGATTAGCATGATGTAATGAAGTTCTTATGACAACATGAGTGAATTTTAGAATTCCCCATTAATTTCGAGGTAGTCATCATAACTTTTTACAATATATTATATTGTGAACTTATTAGTCGGAACTATTTTGAATTCATTCAGTGTGCTTCTATTACTGGTGTTTATTTAGTGGGGTTTTGTACATCAACGGAACACAAATGTTAATGTACAGTAAAAGATTTTAGTAATTTTTTAGGCAAAGAAATTCATGATTCGCAAATCCTATCTCAACTAACGGCCTATATGGTGTTATTTGTCAAATAAATGAGATATTGATTTAAAACTAACTAAATACAGATTATTTTTGTACGTTGTTAATGTTGATCCATTAACCATGTAACATTATTGTTAATGGATTAGGGTTCTTTGAGGAGAGGTTGAAATTCATAAGCTCGATTCTTATAACGTAATAACCACTAGTGGTGCCAGTCAGTCAGTCAGTAACAACGTAGAACTTCGTACGTACGTACATCAGTTCGAGTTGCCACACCACATTAGCACAGAGATGCAGTGGTCGATTCAAATCCCGTAGTGGTAGAGGTAATAAGAGTATAAGCAGTAATCGGGAAGATTAGTGTTTGGAGATGTTATTTAAAGAGTATAATATAGTGAAATAAATTTGGAAAGAGGAAAAAAGAGACAAGGAGGAACAAGGAGATTAAAATTTGGGAGAACACAAAGAGTGGATGCACCTGCGCCATTGCAAACGATTTTGAGCCATGTCATTCAGGGTCTCTAACCATCGGTTGCTATCATCTCGCGGTCCCCAACCAGGTAGTCTACACCTACCAACATGACTCAGTTCACTTGTCAGTGACTTCATGGACTTGTGCCATGTTTTGGTTTGGCCGCCCCTAGCTTTCTTCCAACCTACTCCTATACCACTGAACATAGCACGTCGAGGCAGTCGGTCGTTGGGCATACGTAACACGTGTCCCAGCCATCTCAACTGATGAAGTTTCACTACGTCATCAATTGATTTGCCATCCTTACCTAGTACCCGTTTCCTAACAACTGTGTTACTTACTCGATGGTCCCATGATATACGAGCAATATTTCGAAGACACCTATGATCAAATACTAGTAACCTACGAATATCCTCTACTCTTACCGGCCATGTTTCACTGCCATAAAGTAGGACGGAACGAACTGCTGCGCAGTAAACACGTCCTTTGGTTGATAGACGGATATCTCGCCTACGCCATAAATGACGCAAGTTGGCAAAAGCTAGTCGAGCCTTCTGTATCCGTGCTGAGATTTCGTCACACACCAACCACAAGGGCTGATGAGACTTCCAAGATAAGTGAAGCGGTCGACACACTCAACTACTTCACTCCCTATCACTAGTTCGGGTGTCGATGTAACCCAATCCTGAAGCAACATTTTGCATTTCGAGGGGAGAATCGCATCCCGAACATGCTTGCATTGTTGCTTAGAGTGGTCAGAAGACTCTGCATTTTGTCAGCGTCTTCACCAAATAAAACTATGTCATCAGCATATTCTAAGTCAACAAGTGAACCTCCCGGTAGAAGTTCAACCCCTGGAAATTTAGATGAGGAGAGTGTTATCTCTAAAAGTACGTCAAGACAAAGTTGAACAAGAATGGGGAGAGTGGACAGCCCTGACGAACACCACTTGAGGTAATCAATTCTGATGACAGTTCGCCATAAGCTCTCACTCGACCAGTTGTGTTCGAGTAGAGAGCCTTTATAAGGTTAATGTACTTCTTTGGTACTCCTTTCAGTGACAAACACTGCCATAGAACCTCACGATCAACAGAGTCGAATGCCGCCTTAAGGTCGAGAAATACTACCATTGTGGGGCGTCTGAATGTGTGTCTGTGTTCTAGAACCTGACGTAGTGTGAATATCTGATCTATACAACCACGTCCAGGTCGAAAACCAGCCTGGTTTTCTCTAGTCTGCTCTTCACGAGCTTTATTAGGCGTCGAAGTATTATTGAAGCTAATATTTTAGACACTATATTAGTCAAACTGATTCCTCTGTGATTGTCACAAGAGGACTTTTGTCCTTTCTTAAACTGGCACAATCAGTGATTGAGACCAGTCAGATGGGATTACGTCCAGTTAATCTCACTGCTAATACTGGACCACCATCCTTAAAAATCTCAGGAGTAAACCTGTCAGGGCCTGCTGCTCTCCCTCGTTTCAGATTTCCTATGGCTTTTTCAACTTCGTAAAGGGACGGAGGACCTACATTAACTTGCCATTCAGGTTGACTGGAGATCGTGGGAAACCGAAGTGTGGCTGAAGGCCAGTTGAACTGATCCCTAAAGTGTTCTGCCCATCGATCCAATCTCCTGGATTGAGAATGAATAATATGTCCATCTTTCTCTGAGATTGTTTCGCTAACGGTCGGTTCCTAATTCCGGTTTCCTTAACGAGTCTGAACAATTGTCTGCTATTACCTATTGCCGCTGCCTTTTCCATCTCTCTTGCTTTCGCTACCCACCACTGTTCGCGATCATTGCGTAGACTTCTTGTCAGCTTGCGCTTAAGCTGACTCCGCTCTTCATTATGTTCAGAGCCAGGTGGAATGAGTTTCCGAGCATCTATCAGTGCGATAGATGCTGCTGAGATCCAGTGTTGCTCCCTAACCTTCCGGTTTACCTTACTAGCAGATATCACTGCTGTTTCCACAGCTTTTCGGATATCATTCCATGCTGCATCGGGGTGGGCATCACATACATGGCTGCCTAACTGTTTTCCTAGTTGTTCCTGAAATATACTCTTAGCTTGACTATCATTAAGTAGGGCCCTAAGAGGTTTCCTTGCAGCGTCTTTCCTACGTCCAGTAAGACGCAAGCAAATACGCGCTCGCACTAGAGCATGATCTGAATCTAGGCATGTGCTCCAGAATGAGCGACAGTCTTCTATCGAGCCCCTCCATCGGTGGCTGATAGCGATGTGATCTATTTGGGTCCAACGTTGGGACGAATTAGGGGGTCGCCATGTTAAAAGATGTTTTTCCTTATGCTTAAAGTTAGTATTTGCAAGGAACAGGCGGTTATCTGAGCATAGCTGCAACAGACGGTCGCCATTATCTGTTCTTTGAGCCACGACACCATAAGATCCACCTAGGTGTCTTTCCCTATCGCTTAGTTTACCTACTTGAGCATTAAAGTCACCGGCCACTATTACTACATCCGAGCGCCTAGCTTTTCGGAGAAGGTCCGAAAGCTTTCTGTAAAACTCATCTTTTACATCATCTGAGCTGCAGTCAGTGGGAGAATAGGCAGAGACGACGAAGAGGCAACGACGAGTGTCCCTATCTTTCCGGATTCTTACTGTTCCGTTCAGTCGGACAGCGCACAAACGACTGTCTACTGGGATCCACTCTAAGAGAGCTAGTTCTGCCCTAGGACTCAATGCTATACCTACGCCGGCGAGGCCACGGGAAGCAGAATCAGGGCTTCCAGATACACGAAGCGTAAATCGAGTCGGTTCTTTATTTTGGCATGGTGAGGTCAAATGAATGACGCTACTCGGATCCTGTATGCGCGTTTCGGAGACGCAGCACACATCGATGGCGCGAGATTCTAAAGTTTTAGCTAAGGAAGCCTGCTGTCCTATTTGGCAAAGTGTTCGTACGTTAAAAGCTCCTACGTGTAGTTTAGAGCGTGGTTTCAGGAGACCAGGAATGGCGTTCCACGTACTCGAATCGTTTGCCCTAGCGGTGCGAGGTGATAAAGAGACGTGAGGAGGGTTAGTCATGGAGATAAGAGAGGTATTAGGAGGTGTAGGAAGGATTTGAATGTGACCAACTTGGTCTCGTGTGCTGTTACGGGTATGAGGGCTGATGTCACTTCCCGGCTGCCCACACCGTGGAAGGGTATTTCTTGAGGAACCTGAAAAAGAAGTCGGGTTACTGTTGGTTTCAACGACCTGGGAGCGTGACCGCAGAGCCTTACCGCCGGAGACGGAAATCCGTGAGGTAAGGTGAGGTGTGACATTTTTAGGGTCGACCTTTTCTAACCCCAACCCTCCTTGTGGGAAGGCAGCATCGCTGCAGATGCTGGTTGTCCGAGGGAAACACCTTACTGCTGTCACACCCCTCTACAGTCAGCAGTACGACTTCGCCCTCAGACCTTGAGTTGCTGCTTTTGGTCTTACCGTTCTCCAATCGACCTGCCTGACATGGTAGAACCTACAGGAACATATGTTCCAGCCAATATAGCTCGGTTGGGTCATCACGATAGGCAAGCCCGACCACCCTGTCAAGGTAGCAGCTTCGGTCGGGAACTAGTGGTGTATTGTCTGAGAGATCATAAAGATTGAAATAAATGTACATCGACAATTGGATTTTAGTGGTTACTTGAATTAAATAGTCATATAACTGCAAAAGTCGTATAACAGCGACACTGAGTCTAAACATAGAAGTTCGCAGTTACATACGGTCTGATTAAGGCAAAAAATATTTCATTTCATGGTATCACTAATAAAGAAGTAATTTAGGGGACAGAAAACAAACGAAATAATTAGATTATCTGAATAAATTAAAAGAGAACAGTTCGTAAATAACGGTATACCCAAGTGTACAGATTATTCATGTGGTAATAAAATCAGTGTTGGGATATCCCAAAAATTATCCTGTTAAGTCTAATGCTATTCTTGGACTTGAGATGGTATCATTTTCCTATTGGTCAATATTTGTTCCACGTGTCATCTTCCTACTGGTCAATACTTATTTGACGTGTCAAATGTTATTTTCTATTTTGTGGTACGATGTGGTCTGTTTGATTGGTATATAAACAGAGTATGTTTGAAATATGGTGATTCATATCTCATAGACTGAGACTTGCGTTCTGGACTCAACTGGCTGGGCTAGACAGGGAAGCGAGACCAATCGGGACTCTAGGTCGTTCTTACGTGTTTTACGCGTCTTTGGTCCGGTCGATAATTCGCTGCCATCTAATCTGCAGTCCACAAATTATAACAATCAGCTCTTATTTAAATGACATGACTAAACAACACAACCCTTGTCTAATGCTCTGTTGATAATATGATATCATTTTTATGTATTCACCCTTTTCTTTATAGTTTATCCATAATGTGCAAGTATTTCATTCGGATTACAGACGATTGTGATAATCTGATTAATTCAATTAAAAAGATAAGTTAGTTACATCAAATCGCGATCTTTCCAAAGCAGTTTGTTATTACTCATAAAATCCAATTCGACTGAGTTTATTTCTTATCAGTGAATACCATCATTTCTATATAACACTTTTATAAACGTAATAGTGAAAGTTAACGGTAATTTTATTTCTTGTAATTGAAGTACTCAGTACTCGTGGGATTATCTGTCACGTTCTTAGTGAGTTAATATTGTATCCAGTATTTTCTCCGTTCATTTATTGGGGCGGGGTGGTGTATAGAAGTGAATAATATTCATTGAAGATTTCAGTTGATGCCTCAACATTTACTATACTTGTATTTTTCATTCATGATCTTGGGATGTACAACCTTGATGTATTTATGGAAGACAGTTATGTGGATAACTTCACACTCTTCGAATGAAATGTCGAGTGAAAATCACTTTCTTAAATAAAGCATTCATTTACCAAATGAACTTAAAATGCCGGGTATCACACACATATTGAACGGGTGGATAACGTCACATATAGAATCATATGACACTGACAAGGCTCTTCTAAGCTCTGCATTTGAACGACAAATGAGAACATCGTAGTAGTCAGAGGGGATAATATATTCGATTGTGAGCAGATTTGGATTAGTGTGAGACAATTAAACAGGAGTGTCTCATTTGAGGGTTACCAAGAGAAGTCATAGAAGTTTGACCATGCGCTTTCAACTAGTAAAGTCGATTATAATTAACAGTATTAGTATTGAATGTGTGCGTATAAACCATGTTCTACATTTTATTTTCATAATTTCTACAGAAGTGAATTAAATTCAAACTGCGAAACGGAATTCACCTCTGATGTACCTAAAAGCGTCATCACAAATATATTAAATGATAAATTAGAAACAATATCACCATCTGATGAATCCACATTTATGAGTAATAAAATTACTGAATTGCGAAGTGATGCGACTGATGGATCATGAAATCCACACATAAACACTTACACTTTTTTTATCAGTAGAAAACTCAACATTCATAAATTATGCAGAATCGATAGCTCTTCTTTTATGTTTCAAATATGTTCAAGTATTTTACATTGACGTGTGTATACAACGAGTCGTTGAAGAAATACAATATAACCTGTCTTATGAATACACAGATGCATTGAGAGAATTATCTAATAGCATATATTTATTTTTATGTGGATATATAACTCAAGCTTACAAAAATAACAAAGTTTTATCAACCTGAAAATCTACATTTACCCCACAGGCCAATATAATTTGAACTAGTATCATTCAAAAATTTTGGATTGAACTTTACGTCCATAATGTTTCTTGATACTTTTTAAATGTTTACCTTTATGTAAAATACCTATTTTCTCTAGATTCATTTTTTTCTATTTATCATATTTCATATCGAAACTTGTTATCTTATTCACTCTATCAAAACTGGTGTTTCAAATAAAACAGGAATTATTCAGTGACTTTTGTTATCATACATAGTTAATCCAAGAAAGAAACGAAATAACTTCATAGAAACGTTACTTTACAAACATTTGGGTGTATCATTAATGTTTTTTCTTTTAAAACGTCGGTAGTAAACCCAACAAGATAGATTCTGCAGCTGCCTTGTTATTCGGTATTTGATCTTAACTAGATATTTTGACATGATGGAGTATACAGACATTTTTATTAAAATTTAAAATCGATATAGTGAATCAGCGATCAGAACGTACGAAAGACCACACACCTTAAATGTTTTTTATCAAATTAGGTGGACAGTTTCCTTAACCTTGGAGTCTTTACTGGAATGTTTTATGCACTTACTATTTTCTTCAATGGATTATTTTCATTAAATCGCCCTTAAGACCTTATGATTTCTTCTAGAGCTTTAGCAAAAACTATGTTGTAAAGTCCGCGCATTTATTGCCAATATATATATATATATATATATATATATATATATATATGTTATATCCCAATGAGTATGAAAATTGTATTTCTGGCGTTTCGTGACTTAACGTAAACCTCCGAAGAATCGATTTACATTAAGTCACGGAACGTCAGAAACACAATGTGTAACGTACGACTCAATTTTTTAATAAAAATCAGTAAACGCCAGGTTGTGGTAAAGGGTTATTAAATTACATCCTATTACAACAACTGACGCTAGTTATTGAATTATGTTTTAAAAACTACCACCATACGAAAAAGTAGCAAGAGTATGATTAAAATTTTGTTTTTTGTACGGTAATGTATAGTTTTTATGGTTGAACTATTTGTGCAGATCAAGTATTTGATCAAAGTAGATGGAGACTAGTAGATGTAAGCAGAATTTGCAAGAAACTTTAAATATTTCCAAGAATAATATTAAGCAATTATTAATTAAATTGTACTGAGTCACAATCATTATTTCCTGGTAGACCAAAATGTGACTTAATGAAGACGGATGTAGATGATATCATATTAAAATTACTTCCTATTTATGTCTGTAATGTGATACAGTAAAATGCCTTTCACAAAACAATGTCAAGTAGTTCATAAGTTGCTTATATATCAATTTCTGTATAAAACACTCTGACAATTTTCAAGTAATAATTATTCCACTTTTGTGTTAAGTTAGGTTCTGGTTCAACCTTAACCCAGAATAAAAATATCCAGTTAAATTTAATTAAAAGTGACCGATGTAAAAACTCCTTGAAAAATAGGAGCGGATAAACCAGTGCAACTGGCAGAACTTATAGCATTCGGGGCTTATTACTCTCTCTTTCTTTTGGTTGTTGACTGAATTATAAAAACCTTCACATCTCAGGAGAAGCACGGAATACAGAGGACACTTAGGGATCTGTAGATAACTTAACCCCTCTATCGTATACATAAAAACAAATGCAAATGAAGATACACAGTGTAGAATTAGCTTTGACAGAAATAGGTTCCAAGATTCACAAAGGAAAAAGTGAGATCCTGAAGTAAAAACAGCGAGCACCAACCAAATCACTCTTGATGGAGAAGCTGTGAAAGAAGTGGGAACTTTTACGTATCTGGGCAGTATCATCGACACACGAGGAGGGTTTGACGCAGATATGAATGTATGAAATGGCGAAGCAAGAACAACACTGCTATAAGGTTAGGGTCATAAGTTCAACACTATCGTTTAAACAGTCCATTTGATAACAACTAGAAAGGATAGTGGAGGTGTAAATACCTGGTTGGGGGCATATGTCCCAAGACGGGTAATATGCTTAAGTTTATACTTCAGGTAGCATAAAGTTAGATCGACATCAGGTAGATGCACATGTACTTCTGTTCACTATGACCGACTGACCAATTTTAATAAAATTGGTCAACAAACCCAACAAAATGAGATGAATTCATGATATTTACTTCAAATTGCTGTTCTAGTTCCCTTGAGAATCAGGCTTCGTAGCAAGGAGGGAAGACAATTAATGAAAATAGCAGAGATAAGACATTTTTTATTGTAGATCGCATTATAAGCGATTGGAAACGGATAGGTAGCAAAAGTGTTCCAAATAGTAATTACAATTCACACGTATTTCTTATTCAAGGTTAAATCAAGATATAAACGGAAGTACATTACCTTCAAGTTACGTTCTCCAATTATTAAAATATGGATATTTTCAGGAAATTATATCTATACACTCAGAACAAGTAAAGCACTTCGAAGTAGAACATAGAAGGGCGAAAGAAAGACATTTAAGGTCAGATTTCTGAATATACAAAAAATCTCTTATTCTGGAATGGCACGTAAAGACAAAATACGAAGAGCTTCTTCCGGAGTTAGTCTATAAACGCCTAATTCAAGTAAAGGTCCAAGTGGATCGTTATCACGCTTCTGTTGGCTATTCATTGATTCCATGATAGTTTCTCTCAATAATTCGGCTGTTCCACGCAATAAATTTAGAAGAACACATGCATCACGAATTTGAAAGAAGTATGACTCAGGACGTTCAGTATACAAACTGAACATTGGATACAAGTAGTTAGTAAGATCAAAACGAAGTTGTGCAGCACCCAGAGGACTAAATCGATTTGACAGAATGAGCTGTTGGGAAAACAGGTTAAAATGAAGATGTTAGGTAATTATCAATTGTTGACATTGCATTCGCCTTAAATTCTATCATCATATCACTTATGTCTAATTATTGACAGAGTCCCCAAACACTTTCTGTTTGGGGAATGTAGAGTAAGAGGTGCATATGACGTTTAGAAAGTGAAACTCCAACGCGATTTCATCCTAAATACTGAATTGTGAATTTTGTAAATTTGGTCAACAGTTAAATAGATGTGAAATTGTTTTACCAGTTCTAATCTTTAAGATGAATCGATGCGAGCACACATCTAAAAGCCTAGGGCCTGAACGAACAAAATAGTTGCCTAATGTCCACGTCATTTTGGATTGGTTAAACAAACACTCGATTAACCTGAATGTTTTCGCCTTGAATTATCTGACGAATTATTTTTTGGCACTTACACAACCAAAATTGACCATAAAGCTAAAATTCCGTTATAGTTTGGTGTGTGACGGGAAACATGAATTCATATTTCTTCCAGATGTAGATAAGTAGTAACAACTTCAAGTCATTTTAAGTTGCGGGAAAGAATATGGAAGTATATAATAAATACGTCGAGCAGTTCAAAATTTCAGTGTCTCTGACTAGAACACTGATATGCGTGAATTTTTTGAGGTAAATCATTTCTTAGATGTTGGTGCACAAAACCTTGGTATAATTATTCCTGTTGTTTCTAAGTATCTAACATGAAATTAACAAGTGTAGAAGATGGAATAATTTCGATGAAAGTTGTGGACTGTTTATTCTAGGAAGGAAAGGAACCAAAAGTGAAAAAAGAGGCTGCAGTGACTAAATATATTTCTTCGTATAAAGTTAGATTTCTATGAATTCATACGCTTTGAAATAGTGACACGAAGTTTAGTTTATTCTGATATCTAATCTACCATTCTCTTCATCAACATACTCCTAAATTTGTCTATGATAATCATTCACATACCCGTTAGTTAGTTTACTCCTTTGCCACGTGCATGTTAATGTATTTAACCTAAAGTGTGAGGTCTAGTGACATTATCCAGCTGGCGGAACCGATATTAAAGTCAATAGTTGAACAACATAGGTGACAATATTTAAAATCGGTAATAGGTGAAAATATGAGTACATTTTCCCATCTAAAGTATAAACAATAAAATCTACTACTCTACATTAATGTATTCATAATACACATCATCATGATTAATTCAGCTGTTTTCACTTTCCCTAAAAGATAATTTGAACACATCAATCCATAGATGTAGCCAGATTCAATATTGCTTTGTCCATCACCTAGTTATTTATGTCACAAGTGCAAAGTTCGAAATTATGGGAGGAATAGAGGTAAAATCAAAGTTGGCTCAGTTCAGGCAAACTCAAATAATAGATGAATTAAGTTGTCACAACATACTCATTATACAAATAATCATCTAATTGTGATGCAATTTCTTTCCATACATGTGTGAAAAGTTTTGGATGTAATGATTCTGATAATTGATACAACCAGTCACGTAATGCAAGGAAGAATACTGACGCATTAGCTGACATCATTAAATTGGAGAGTTCATTTTTCATATTACTTAAATAACCGGAAACAGAACTAGCTCGAAGCCAGTGATCAGTTGCATAAACATATACCAAAGATTTACTTTTTAAATCTGTCAATGTTAAATCGACTGTTTCTTTCAACATATTTTTAATCTCACGATTGTACAATCTTAGCATCTGTTGAATTGTTGAAAAAGAAAATATAAAATAAACACAATTGAACAAGGTACGACATGCAGTAATCACCTATTGAAAGTCTGGTAATAAGCTGTGAAACAAACAAAACAAGCGACAGCAGTATTATGCCGAGATTAACAAATGCAAGTTCAAAAAAAAAAAGTCTAAACACGATCAAAACTTTAACAAATGAAATGGTATCAAAAATAGACAGATTGTTGATTAGTGTGTAGAATTATGTGAAAATTAATTGAAGTATATTAAGTTATCACAATTAAATCTCTCTGCAAAGCCCACTTGTAAAGTTAGTAGCGTTTCTTTAGACATTTATTGCATTGATATTTGAGTTTGTCAGTGTTACAGATACATAATTAGTCAAAAAGTATCTTTAATAACAAAAGCTGACTATCATAAGTAGACACGGAAATCAGGTTTCTTCGTAACTATCGTATACTTGGTAGAAGGGAAACTGACAAATGGCTTACATGAACAGATTTAATTCATGCAGCTTATTTGAAGCATATTTATTCATGAAACCTACTGACAAATGTACGACTTTTGTTAATACTTTATTTTGAAATATATTTTATTAGTTTAATAGCTGTTTAACGGTATGAAGAAAAATGTTCAGTTAGAATTTATCCTTTGTTACGCAAATGAAACATGTGACTTCATAATCATATACAAAATTATGTACTAAGCTTTGGAAATACAGATTTTTGAGCGTGATTACTATTGACCCCGCCACAAAACATGAGGATGAGAAAAGTTTGGACATGAGACTTAATGATTAGGAAAAAGTATTTTAACCACTATGGATTTATTTTATTTATTTATTTATTTGAGTATAAACAATGGCACAGGGGGGCACCATATACATATGCGATACGTAATAACCATGAGGTTGTGAAAAGATAGAGGTGGAGTGCGTATGATAAAAATGAACAGCAACGAACAGAAATTAGTATATAAGAGTGAAATAATAATAATAATAATAACAATAGGAAAAACAGTTCAGTTAGCAAAAATATAATCAGAAAGAATTCTTTCAATCAAGGAAATTACGTTCACTTTTATGAAGAAGGTTACAGCAGAATCGTCACTTGCTTCTATTCTGAGCCATGCCTAACAATGTTTCTAGCCACTATGCTGTACCATCTTTAGGAAATCAACCAGGAAGTCGTAAAGGCCCAACAGAAGCCAGTCTTGTACAACTTTCTTTTATACCACGACATGTCATATACTGACCGCCCTTACGCTTTTTTCAAACAGTCTCAGCGTCGGCAAATAATGCACAACGAGGAATTCGCTGAGACGACATTCGTAAGACATGTTCAAGCTACCGAAGTCGGTGTTTCAAGATGGTGGCACCAATTGTATTACCATCACTGTGTCCGAAAACACTATGCCGAACCTCTGCATTACTAACATGGCGTTGCTATTGTATGTCAGCAATTATTCGTATACAAAAATGATGAAACACAGAGTCGCTTAAAATACTCAACTCGGAGTGGTCAGGTCTTACAAGCATGAAGCAAAACTCCTCTCACCGACGCGTTGTAGATCCGACCTCTTACAGCAAGATTAGTATCACGAAGATGCCAAAGATGGCTACCTAAATACACGAACTTGTCGACTACTTCTATCCGCCCACTACCCAGGGTGAGTACAGAATTAGGGTCCTGTCAGTCTTGTAAAAACACTTTGAACTTCGAAGGTGCGAAGTACATACCGTACCTACGGACATTAATAGTCAATATTCAGGACGCAATCGGAAGTAGACCTATCCCCTGAGAGGAGTGGCAGAAACGAAGTGAACCCTTTTTAAGGGAGGAACAACTATAGATTCATTTTGTAGTGTTGGAACACTCTCTAATTGCTATATCTTTAGAAATAAATAAGTCGGTTCCATGAAAAAAGTCGCCACTATTTTGGTCAAACTCGTGGTCATTCGGAGAAGACCAGTGTGCTTCAATGAGTTGTAAATAGCTGAAGAAACCCAGTGCTTATAAGAGGGAAATTTCGCGAAGTTTCAAACGACTTAAATCGCCATTTTCATAGCGTCATGCAATTGCAACCAGTGCTCATCTATACTTTCTGATGGGATGGTAGCTAACCATGGACCTAGCTCGGTTTGATATTTAGTTGCAACATAAGCTGCAACCAATTTACTGACATTGACCCGTTTAGGATGATGAATTTGCTGGCCAATGAAAAGTAAGGTAAGATTAGCGCAAACAAGGAATGACCAGAGTCCAATGCTGCCTCAGCTCTAGCATTTAGTACGATACGAACTCTGGCAAAACAAGACGAAGATGCCACAGGGTCTCCGGACAAACTTACAGAAAACAAGCTACTCGAAGCGACAGATGGAGGGCGAATTTGTAGTATTTCATAAGAGTCTTCAATATTGGTCTCGGATAGACAACAGACATAGATATTGAGACTTTCTAAAGACATAGCCAACCCCATCTATTGTTCGCTATGCATTAGTGTGCGGAAGTTGAGAGAGCTCAGTTTGAATGGCACACGCGGTTTCAGAAAGACTGGCTCAGTATTCGTAGTCGGTGGTAGGATCCAACCTTCGACCAGTCAGTGACTTGAGATTGTTTAGACAGACCAGGGTTTCTACCATAGGCGAACTGCTGTATAAGTTAAAATATAAATACGCAAAATGAATATCAAGAGGAATACATAAGCAACTAAGTATAAAATAAATAAAAACGAATGTTATCATATGATTGTTAATAAGATTTGTGTAAGCCAGTGTTGAAGCAATAGTAGTTATCATAGATTTGTGTGGGAGCTGTGATACTGCCCGGATTCCCGAACCGAAGCAGGTGGTTTTCTTAGAAGACCACTTCCCGAGCCTTCGACCTAAAGGTCTGATCCACAAGGCAGCGGAGCAACATTAGGAGGTCCAGTTCCATGATAGCCGGTGACCAACAATCAGTTCATACACCATTCGTTCCTTCAGGATCTCGGAGCCAATGTGCACCACTGATTTGGAACCAAGGTTTTCCAACTCTCCTGAGTGTATCCTCCGTGTCCACCAACCCAGTTAAGTGCCGAACATTCGCTTTTCGTTTTCTCAATTTCGCAAACAACACTCCCGCCGCGAGAACGCAGTAATTATTACTTCCTTGGCATTGGCTGTATACGCGGGGTACGTGTGAGCATTTCAAGAGAGCGGATCACTAAGGATAGATGTCTGGAAACTTATTTATGGTATCTAAAAATCCCAACTGTAGTGTCTAGTGAATGATAATGTATTGGTCGTAAAATCCAATGGCCCCTGATTTGATTGCAATTATAGTTACGGGTGGGCATGATTAAAAAGTCTAAAAACCGATTGAAACGGATTCCCAGAGCGTTTTTATCTGCATAGTTGATGAGATTCGGCGAAGGTCACTATTGGATATGAAGGTTGTATATATAAAATATTCGATTGAAATGTTTTGAAACCTGATCAGAAAAATTGGACTCAATAACTTATCGGTAACGTCTCGAATGAAACCGTGAGTGACGCAAATTTTCCGGAGAAATATTGTCTGTAAGTAGGATTAGACAAAAGCTTTTTGTCACCGTATAAAATAGTATGGTGAATACCTGATATTCATCAAGTCACTATATAATTCTGGTAACTAATGTACAGAATAAAATAAAACCTAAAATATAAAGTTTACATCAATTATTATCAAATAAATGAAAGACATTATTAAATTTACAGTTATATATCACAACTAACCTGAGTGAAAACACCACCATGTAAACCAAGGTAAGTATTGGAAGAATGCAACTCGTCAAATGTTTCATTTTTAGGTTCATTCTGTTCTGACTATTAAAAAAGACAGATTATAGAACACCATAGTTAGAGAAGGATACTAGGAATAATTGTAATGTGCAGGAATGCTACTAGTAAAATCATGATATAAAACATGGTTGTTCTTGCAAAAACAGTTATAAACCAGGGCATGTATTATCTAACACAAATAAACAATTTACAAGCACTGAGCTACAAGTCAAACAACAAGTGTATTAAAACTATGAAACTGAAACGAGTTATCAAACCAATCACAAAATCAAAGAGATAAGCGCTTAATAATTAGGTTGATGAAAATACAAAAAATGCCTTGGGTTTATATATATACAAACAATGAAACTATACTATTTTGGCATTGACTTTGGTCATTTCTAATTGTCTTCAAGAAGTTTTGAGAGACGTTTAAGATTACGATCCAAAATAGCAGGCTTCAAATAACTGAGAAATGACCAATTAATTAATCAATTTTGAGAGAACATGGATTTCATGCTATCACTTTGAAAGCTAGATATCACAGTAGAGGATTATTACTGAACTATGTCTTAGTCGTCAAGCGGACACGCGTGTTTGATAACTGGTGTGAATGATTCGACACACGATAATGACATTTGGTTCAGCATGCTATTAATCATTAACTCCATGAATTGTCAACTAATAAGCATGATGTTTATCATTTCATAAAATCAGAGATATTTCTCTACAAAATAATCATAATAGGAGATCCTTCAGATTATTTTAAACCCCGTGGTTGTTTTTGAGTGAGAATAGATCTAATTGTTGTATTTATTGTTGCATTTATATATATATATATATATATCAAATCACTTACCTCTTTTACTATTTCATCGGTAACAAGAGGACAAAGACCAATGTCAATTAGCCAAGGATCTCCAAACTGTAATAACGCGCGAGTGCTTAAATCTTCCCAAAATGTTACGTAATACTATGAATTAAAAGAGATTGGAAAACCACAATATTATTTCAGGATTTTATGGTAGTCATATTTTTGGTAGCAACTTTGTCTTCTCTTGAAATCGAAGCCTGTATCAGACACTTAATAAAATGGTTTACTGGTAAAATGATCTGACTTTAAATCCGTGATAGAAGTATTACTAGCCTTAATCTACAAAATCTATGACTACAACCCGAGTGCATGGACCTGTAAGTGATTACTGATATATATGTTGAAATCTAGTGTTCAGGGTATATTCATATGTTGAGGCGGAAAATTTTCAGCTCTACTACTAATACTGATACTAATAATGGTAATAAATAATAAGAATAATTTATTCAAGAATAATAAGTTACATGAAGTATGTCGATTTACAGGCAAGATAAAATTGTTACGAGCGGGCTTTAATCGAAAGATATTGATACTACAGCATAGGAAGAAGGAAGCGTTAACAGAAACTAGAACACCATGTGACTGTAACTTCAAGTAAGATTAGCTTCTTGTCTGATAATAGTTGTTTTTTATGATCTCAGATTGGAATATATATTCCACTAGTTAACTATGAAGATCCCCATAATCAAACACTAAGTTCTATTTATAGTAAATATGTATATATATAGATATAGTATAGATAACGTGCTAAGTTTAATAGGAGCTTCTTGATTTTAAATCAATAACAAACAGTAGATAACTAAAAGACTAACGGACTAGTTACGTATGGATCAATAAAACAATAATCTTATTCATGTAATTTAGAAGTACTGTCCACGAAAGCTTATAAATACACAACGGTCAACTAACTTGATCGTTGGCCCATTCCAACATCACATCGTGAAGACATTTGATTGCATTCAACACAATTATCCACCGAGAAGATAATTTCTGACCAATCCCATCAACAAAACAATTGAATAACTGATTGATGATTGAAATTTTCTTAGTTTCTGAACTAGCATTTGGCGAGCGACTACGTGATGAAAACAAACTTCCGAGCACTGTAGTTTTAGCATTGCTAACTTCAGATTTGTTTTTTGACTGGCCAAGGTCATTTGAGTTATCATTTTCGATTTTTCGACGTGCGAACAACACGATATCATTAAAAAATTCACGAATTAAATTCAATTGAATTTGGACAAATCTAGCCCGTGATATTTTGTCAGATAGTTGTCGACTTCTAAAACCTACAGCATGGAGAAGTGCAATGAAATCATCGACACATTGGGGCCTAAAGAAAAGGAAATTTTAATAGCATAAGTTCTCGACGCTACGAAAATTTTCATATTTTCAGTATCAAAGTATATTGATTCGGTAATGAAGATGGATTATGAAAAGACAGAAGTTCACTAAAGAAAACATGTTTGCTCAATAAGTAAATAAATAAACTGTCTAATAACCACTTTAAAGTTTTTGCAAAGAAGAAGTATACACATTAGAGAGAAAAGCTTTAATAGAATCACTTTGTTGTGAATACAAATGTAAAGATTAGAAGCTCGAAATTGCCACTTGATGCAACGAAGCCAAAAACAATATATCTCTGAACACAATTTGTAATACTTTATACGCAGGAAAGATTATAATCAGAAAACACTTCACAAAACATAACAGGACGTATAAGAGTAAACACCAAAGATTTTAAGCAATTAATGATCAAAATTATTTTAAGTCAAAAAATAGATAGTGATATTTACAAAACTAATAACATATCTAAAGTAATTGAAGCTTTTAATTGGTCAAAATATCGATTTGTAAGTGTTCATACTTTCCAGGACTTTGTCCGGACAACCTATCTGTATATCATTGACAAATCACATCAGTGCTGGATTTCATATAGTTAAATATATATTTAAAAATTCTAAAATCACTGAAATTCGTTGGAGCTGTGTTAGATGTCTAAACATTTGACTCTATCATAGGTTGATGAGTAGGAATCTCATTTCACCCATTTAGTTTCTGATAGCTAAGCAGTATTGCTTACCGCTTTACAATGAATGTAGTTCGTACTCCAGTGTTGGTCAATACTTGACCAGATATAACAATGAACGTCTTTGGAAACTTGAAGGATATATACTGAAGCATAAAGAACTAAAGCTGCAGTTAACTATTTTACTTACCGCTTTTCAGTTTCGTCAACAACAGACCAAGATGAGAAATTCCCGAGGACAAGCTTTAATCTGTCAGAAGCTAAACACTGTTCTAGTAAAAGCCAACGTGAAAAAACTTTGGGATGTGAAAGCACATCACTCGGTTTAGGATAATCATTTGGATATGCTAGCTGAGTTAATTTCGCATCCGTCTGTAATATGACATCAATTAAGTGGCTGAAATTTTGTGCATTTTCTAGCAATTCACTACTAGAACTATTACCGGGATCAGAGTCCATAGGACAACTTAATATTTCAGAGTTAGAACGTCGCATTTGAAATTGATAACCAAATCGTACTGGCATAAAAGCAGATATACCAAGGTCATAGTGTAGTTTATCTAATAGTAATGTGACCAAACCGCGCATGAGCTGCAACTAGAGAAAATAGCAATGTCATTTCATTAAATTATAACTCTAAGTACAGTAAGCAAAAATTCTCAAGCTGATCTAGATGCAAGTACAGCCTACCACTGAACTAGTGTATACAAATTTATAGACTTATGTACTACATTGAGCTTTTCGTGGTACTTCAGTTGTACAATTAATACCATATTACTAACTTACGTCAACTCCTTGATAGTACTAAGCTACTATAGGTACCTTTCATTCAACTAGTTTAGTTATTTTTATGATTTGCTGTGAGCAAGGTTTTGGCTTGGGTGGACTATGCTCCTCCACGAGGAGCAGCAGGCGTAAGTGATAAAAGTGTGATGAACTTCGCGTAATTTTAGGGTCGATACTAGTAGCCAAGTTGTGATGGCACATTCTACTTCTTTTTCTGAGTAGGATTTCGTAAAAGTCCTGAATATCAAGTGTGTGAAATAAACCTTCAGGTTCTCAATCCACCTTTGTGTGAATAAAAACAGCCAATGGTGGAGATTTGTAGCTCAGGTGGATGATTTTGGTGGAGTTTTGTTCTTTGAGCTGGATGGTTTGGTCGTGGAGCTTTCATCGTTCTTCTGAACGAAATCATCAGCACAAACTTCAGATAGAAGTGAAGTGTTTGAATTTCTCCATATGTGTCTCAAAGCTTGTTCTGTGCACCTCGACGTTGATTGGTTCTTATTGACTTTAAATTTGTCGTTGTTTACTTCTTTGTTTTGGTTGTGTCTCCCATTGTTTTGATTTTTGTTCTTATGTTTGTGCATGATTTTTCTGATTGGCTGATAAATTGGATTGATTTCAATATGCTTGTTGATTGCTAATTGACCTGAGTGCCAGGCTTCTAAAAATTCTCTGGTGTTTTTGGAGTTTCCTCTGTCTAAGATTTCCACATTTTTCCAATCGAATGAGTGTCCGCAGTTGTCCACGTGTATTGATATAAGTGAAGAGATATCATGCCGTTTGACTGCTAACTGATGTTCATGTAGGCCATTCAATCAAATCCCCTACACAATTCCTGGACCAAATTAAGGACATCCAAATCAACAACGACGAACTGATGATATCCTTCGACGTGACAGCACTATTCACCTCAATTGAACCAAAATTAGCAAAAGAAACTATATCCCTGCTGCTCAACAACGACACAAACCTCACCAATACCTAAAGGACAAATTCTAAATGAAAACTGAGTAAGCCATTGATTTACACGCTACTGAACATCACAATATCCGTGAAGACTAAGCCGGGAGTCTCAAATCTAAATTATTTGCTAACAAAATTTTCAGAATGATACTTAAAATTAGATAGGTAGCATATTTGAACGCCACTTCAACAGTAGCCCCCAAATTAATTAGAAGTGAACTCACTAAAAAGTGAATATTCAACCGTCCTCATTTGTGTATTGTAACTGAACAACAAAGCAATGCAGTAGTGGCAGAATCCACACCCAAACGCGCTGGGTACGGCCGAGGGTGGGGAGAGTCGGCTGTCCCTCTTGAAATGCTTTTACATGGCCACCTGCATACAGTCACTGCCAGGGACGTCCTACTCACTGGCATCCCACGGCAGAGGTGTTATTTACGAAATTGAGAAAACGAAAAGCGAATGTCCTGCGCTTTAACCAGCTTGGTGGGCAAGGAGAGTTCACCTAAAGGAGTTAGAAAATCCTGGTTCCAAATTAATGGTGCACACGGGCTTCAGTATCCTGAAGGAATAAATGATGTATGAACCAATCGTTGGTCATCAACTACCATGGGAATGAATCTCCTGACGTCGCTCCACTGGCTTGTGGATTGGACCTTTAGGTCGAAGGCTCAGGGAGTGGACCCCTAAGGAAACCACCTGCCTTGATCTGGGCACCCGGGCAGTATCACAGTCCACACACAAATCAAGTGACTTGTGTGGCGCATATGTATTCGGTGCCCCTTGTACCAATATTTATGTGTTCAAATAATAAATATCTTACAAATAATGTAGCCCGAAACCGAGTACATAAACATGTACTCGCCAAATGAGTTACATTGATAACGATTGATAAAAGTCATTCTCGATGCACTTTTGACGCTAAGTGGTTCTGAACAATCAATTTCTAAAATGTACAGCCTAACTTGATAACGGTGTTGCTGTAATACAGTTTACACCATGTACAAACAACACTCGTAGAGTGGTGCCTTACTGGATAAGGCGTTTTACTTTTAGTCACTAGATCCTAGGTTTGAGTCCCGCTCCAACTGTGGTTTGGACAGCCGACCAGTATCACTAGCACTCACAATTAGAGTATGGCTCATATCCAAGTACCTAAACAATAGGTTAATTGTTATTTTGCTTTCACAGTAAAAGGCAATCACCAAGCTTCAAAAATGATCCATTCCAATGAAATCCATATAACCAGCTGAAGCCTGGAGTTTACAATAAAACCTAAATGAAATTATAAATTCAGAGTATAAACTTTCTTGTCAAGAAGCCCTACAGTTGATTATGAGAAAAACTAACACAAACTAATGATGTTAATCTGTACACATATAGTGATGATAATGAAATGAAAACACTTTCGAGTTAAATGTTTATTTCACACTAAATTATGAATATACTCGTGGTTGTTGAATGAAATACCAAATTAACGACTGTGTAAAAGAAACTGATTTCAAGTCTGACAAAATATAAAATACATTACTGCGATTGTGATCAGATTTAAAATGCAATAAAAAAGTAATAATTATGATTGTCGATTTTGTTTTCAAACTCACTCGGACGCTAACAGGAGTATTGTCTTTATCAGAGATGAAATCACGATCGACCACTGTAACAAAATAATCATTTGTTCGGATCCACTGAAGAACTTGTGACATGTACCATTCAGGCTAAATAAAAGTTTGTGGTTAAATGTGTATTTGTAAATGTACCATATCGATTCTGTTTGTCTTCTGAGAGCCACAAAAGTGATAACGGAAACGCTTCTCCATAGGAGCCAGAATAATATGCATTGGAAAGCATACATCTATTAGTAACGGTTTCGATATTAAAATATTTAGATGACTGATGAGGAGTTAAAAGGATACGGCTTAATACTTGTGTAAATTATGAAAACAGAGGGAAATAAAACCATAGATCAATGATTGATGAGTACGCCACACATACAGTTTAGTACTACATTACACAGTAGTTGAAAAAGAATCAAAACATTAGCGTACAGTCATGACAAAGAAAAATCATACAAATTAAACCACACTGAAGGACATTAAGGTGATTCTCAACAAAAATTTTTAGTCAAGGGTGATCCTGTGGCAATAATGCAGTGTAGTAGGAAACTATAGGATGGACATCAGCTTCTATTCCGAGCCATACCTAATAACATCTTAAGCCACCTATAAGGCTCCAGCCGAGTCGTGATGGACCAATAGATGCTAGTCCCATGCAACCACCTTGTATACTACGAGGTTGCGTCATAAAATAGCCAACTCCACATTTTATGTTCAGTCTAAAAGTCGTCAAATAATAGGCGATGTGGAAGTTGCTAGGATGACATTAGCAAAATATGATCACCCCATTAAAGTCGGTGTCCCAAGATGATGGCATCAACCGAATCAACGTCGTTACGCCAAACACATGGCCGAACGCGATTTTGTCACCGAATATCAGTAATCTTTCGAAAACAATGGTTATAAAAAAAATAAAATGTCGCTATACATCCTCAGATCGGGAGGGACAGGTTTCACAAACATAGGGTAGAACACTCACTGATGCGTTGTAAACTTCACCTTTAGCAGACAGACTAATGGATATCAAGGTGGAGCAAGAAGAGTGTTTCCTTCATCAGTAATTATCATCATATTTATGTGTAATCTAATCAAACTGCTACGCAGATTTGTCTCCCGGTTTTTTGCCTTTTAGTGGAATTTCAAAACAAATTAAAAGGCCTTCAAATAATTAGCTTCCATTTGAACCTGGAGTAAGTTGTCTTCAGTGTAGCCGCTGACTAGCATAAATGATTCATTTTAAATTGATTTCTTTATTCATGGTTCACAGTTTTGGCTTAATGTTAGTGGTCTGTTCGTGAAAGGATACGAAATATCGAATGTAGAAAGAGCTTGAAAGTCATTGGAAAATGACTGCAAATCATCATCACACCACGTTTGTAATCCTCCTTCCTCAAGAACTTCAGATACAATAACAGGAAAATTTAGTTTCTTTAGTAAGCACTCAAAATCCCTAGAAATAGCTTTTAATTTATAAATTCTTACGTCATTAAATATAGCAAGGAATCTAAACACGTTTTATGCTGTTGAGATTGTTCCAAAATAGAGGGCAAAATATCCGGATCAGTCGATAACTGCGTATTAAGGAAGGAAAAATATTGTTTAATTGACTCAATTAGAATGTCCTTGTCATTAATTATTCTAGCAGATAATACACCAGACCTTACAGATAATATATAGATGAAGAGAAGTGAAATTACTCAAGAAATGACAAGTGTTCAGCGAATTCCAAGATCCTCAACTGCTTTGTTAGGGCTTCACATTCTTCTATTACTGGATATGCTACATCGTGCAAGGGGGATACTTTGGGAATTAAGCCCACCATATGTTCTTGATTTTTCGATATTCCCTCAAACAACTTTTCCATACGAACTTTTAGATCTTCAGACGCATGACAAACATGAGAGATCTCACAATTTTCTGAAAGAAAGATCTTTAATAAGATTACAAAGAAAAAGGAAACTACAACTTACTATTTCTTTTAGATGCTCTATTTTGGATTCGATGTCCTTGATTGCTGACAAAAGTTGTTCTTTGACGTTCCCTGTCGGACGAACGATTTCGTTGAGTCTTTTAGTATATAATTCTAGCGACATTTCTAAAAAGTTAGACAATTTAATGGGATTTGAAACTCAAAGTAAACAAATTTATATGCGAGTCTTAACTAGTTTACAAATATGGTATTGAGTTCAAGCATGACAATTTAACTAAATAGCCATGAAATCAGTTTGAATAAGATAGGGACAACAACTGAAACAGAATAATGTGGGTTTGCTGTACTCTAAGGGTTTTCATTAGTTGCCTACAACATTACTCGTATTGGAATATAACACTAAATAATGAACAGTAGGGATAGATTAATTGAAATTATAAAAGTTATCACCGTTATTATAATTATATATATGGAGGATAGGTTTAGAGAAAGTATGGATGAAACAGTAATTATCTGAAACTCGAAAATTAATGCATTGAATATTAATTATGGGTTTGAAGAATTTACGTTTTTAGAACTGGATAATTTAAAATTATCCTGAGTGAAGGCGTATTTTTGAAATGGGCAAGATAACAACACGACCGTTGTTGCTAACTTGACGCGTTCATCGGGATTGCCTATCGTGATGAACCAGTCGGGCTACATTGGCTGACCTTGGTATCCGTCAAGGTTGTCCACTTTCCCCATTTTTGTTCAACTTCATCATAGACATATTGATGGGAATCACGTTCTCGTAGAATGAATTTTCAGGAATTGATCTCCTTCCACGAGGTCCACTTATCAACTTAGAATATACAGATGATATAGTCCTGTTTGAAGACGCTGTTAAAATGCAGAGTTTTGATAGCACTGAGCAACAATGCTAGGATGTTTGGCATGAGTTTCTCCTCCTCCAGATACAAGTTGTTGCTTCAGGACTGGCTTCGTCAACACCTGAACTAAGGATAGGGAATAAAATAGTCGAACGCGTCGATAACTTCACTTATCTTGGAAGTCTGATCAGCCATAATGGGTTGGTGTTTGACGAAAGCTCTGCACGAATTCAGAAAGCTCGTTTGGCTTTTGCCAACTTACGTCACCTATGGCGAAGGCGAGATATCCGTCTATCAATAAAAGGACGAGTATACTGCGCGGCAGTTCTTTCCGTTCTACTTTACGACAGCGAGATGTGGCTATAAATGGTAGAAGATACTCGTAAGCTACTAGTATTTGATCACAAATGCCTTAGAAATATTGCTCAAATCTGCTGGGATCACCAAGTAAATAATAATGAGGTTAGACTCATGGTATTAGAGAATTATGGTAAATCAGTTGATGAGGTTGTAAATCTTCATTGACTGAGATGGTTGGGCTACGTGTTCTGTATGCCTGAATACCGACTACCACGACGCGTAATGCTGACTAGTGCTGGAGACGGTTAGAAGAAAAGTAGGGGTGGCCGAACCAAAACGTGGCATCAGTGCTTGAAGTCACTAACCTTTGGTCTGAGCCATGCTGGTAGATGCAGACTACTTGGTTGGGGTCCGCGTGACCATCGGAACTGCGCAACTGAGCCATTGCAAACGATTTTTAGCCATATCATTCAAAGTCTATAACCATTAGCTACGATAATCACACACACCCCAACAAGGTAATCTACACCTATTAACATGACAAAGTCCAAATGTCAATGACTTCATGGACTGATGCTGTCTTGATTTGGCCGCCCCTGGCTTTCTTCCAGCCTACTCCTGCACCTACATACGTAACACATGCTTCAACCATCTCACTTGATAAAGATTTACTACCTCATCAATCGATTTGTCATCGTTACCTAATACCCTATTCCTAACTCTTACTTACTCCTGTTACTCCCAATGGAGCATAGGCCGCCGACCAGCATTTTTCAACCCATCCTGTCCTGGGCCTTCCTTTCTAGTTGTATCCAAATGTTTTTTTTCATTCTTCTCATGTCTCTCTCCATTTCTTGGCGTAATGTGTTCTTTGGAATTCCTCTTCTCCTTAGCCTTGAGGATTCCAAGTGAGGCCGTTTGACGCAGTTGGGTGCGTTCCTCAATGTATGTCCTATTTACAATCTGTTAACTCCCGAGCAACATGGGTTTCGTAACAAGCGGTCATGCTTGACTGACTTATTGTGAGAGAGGATCGGACAGCAGATTTAGATAACGGTATGTCTGTCGATGTGATATTGATAGATTTTAGCAAAACGCTTGACAAGGTTTCCCAATTAGGTCTTGTGCAGAAGCTCTCGAGCTTCGGGATAACAGGTGCTGTACAGAAATGAGTAGGAAACTTCTTATGTGACCGCAGACAGTGAGGGTCAATGGAAGGCTATCCGAATGAAAGCCGGTCAAAAAAGGTGTGCCCAAAGGCACCATCTTAGACTCTCTACTTTTCCTTCTCTACGTGATGAATTATTGTATGCAGATGATGTCAAAACTTGGAGAACAATAGGAAGTGAGGTTGATTATTTTGATCTCCAAGCTGACTTAGACAAATTAGTGGCGAGACTCTAATTTATGGACGACCTTTGAACGAATCTTAAGTGACATCGAGAAATAATAGCCAATCAACAAACAGTCAGTATAGAGTAAGAATATGTTATACAAAGTCAAGGAAATAAAGTGGATACACTTCTTATACGTGGTTCAAAAACTTGTCAAGGTTAGAAAGAGGTTTACAGGTTCTAAAACCGTAATGCATGCAGTAGAGGAACTCATCCATACGGCTACAGAATAGTTGGCCCCGGGAGCCATGGTAAATTCTCGAAAACTCTTTCAGCCTCGACCACATAGCTTCAATATTGTTTATGTCCACTCCGGTTGTTGAGTGTACAAAATGCTACCTGTGGATAACGACACGATGCACATAACCAAGCCTGTTTAAGAGTGTGTACGCTCTCCAAACATCCGTATATATTGTAGTACCTGGCTGCTACCAGTATTACTGATGCTTTTATTATCCATTTCGCAATTGGTGAAAGGTTTTCACGCCAAATTCCGAGGTCTGTTATCTTATACCTGATCGAATCGTCCACAAATCGTAGTATCGCCGTTTTATTTGTTATAGCCGCTCAATTATCACGTTTTGTACAAAATTCCCTGTGAAGCGATCGTATGTTAGCATTAAGCACTGAAGTTAGAGCCGTAACCTTGAAATCTCTAAGACGCTTCTGATTGGCTCGTCCATAAATTAGTCTGATGGGCTTGAGGTTAGGGCTTATAAGTCAATTCTAGGAAGAGTTTGCTCATGCACATGGAACACGGTTGTGATTACCATTATACCATTGATGGTACATCTCTTCCACGCGTTCAAAAACATAGAGAATTAGGAGTAATAATAAGTCATAACTTTAAAACAACTAGGCATTGCAACGCAGCTACTGTTAGAAGTTTTTGTGCGTGATGGTCATTTCGCCGAGCATTCAAATACTTTAACGAGGAAATGTTTCGAATTTTATATCCCACCTATGTAAGATCACACTTAGAGTACTGTGTTTCATCAGCCCCATTCAAAAAGCTGGACCTTCACTGGAAGGCGATTTGTCAAGATTAACACAGGTTCACCAACCTTATTACTGAAGACTGAATAAAACGATTTCACTGATTTAACTTCACGGTTACATATTCAGAAGTTACGAGTCGCCAAGCAATGTTTGGGACTCGATTTGAGCTTTATTCGATGAATAAACAGATGTCAAAAACATAGAACTCCATTAGGATTCAAATTCACAAACTTCCAACTGAAATAACTTGCTAAATGTTATACGGGTTATGATATGTCAGTTGTATGGTTATCTAAATGTCACTGAAATCCAGCCATTTTGCAAGTGAAGCCAATATTATGCATACCGTAGATCACTGTAGTGGTTCGCATCTAACCAGAAGATGCTTTGCACTATGGAAGAATGCGGAGTAGCGAAGGCATAAAAGAGTACAAAAATTGGGTAACCGTGCTAGAAAGAGCACACAAAGCACTTAAATTTAACACGGAAAACAACAACAATCAGGAATAACACAAGCTTAAGACGATTTTGCAGTGAAACCTAGAAGCAAATATATGTGAAAATTATATTCGAAATAGTCCCGGCGATTGAAATTTAAATAATTTCAGCGTTTCGTCCAGCCAACTTATCAGGACTTCTTCAGGGTAATAGTTAAAATCAAAACAGTTTAACTCACTATAGTCACTGGGATTCAAATGATTCGCCAAGGTCAAGGGCAAACAACGTGTAATGATCACTCGTTGATCTGGCTCGACCCACACTAGTGATCAAACTTTGTACTGTTTTTATCTTTGTATTAAACCTACAGTATTTTTGATGAGATTTCGTCGGGTATCTAATAGCATTAGGGGACAGAATAGCCTGGAGCTAGATTTAAGTGAGGGTAGGAGGTCTACGTCTAGTTCAAACATATCTTGAGACCTAATGAAAAGCAGTTTAAACAACTGGTCATGAAATTAGTTTCCTCTGTGTTTGAATAAGGCTGTGAAAACAGCTGAAACAGGTTTCTGCTAATTTGTTAAGCTTCATATGCAACATAGACCCAAGTCAAGCAATCGCATCATTCCACCAATATTGCTCGAAATTACTGATTCTATCGTCGTCCTTCAGTAAGTGTTGTTATTCTTCGCTCACTATTGTCTGACTTTGCAAATTATTGCTCGTATACAGTGTTTTACTGTACCATGAAATATCATCCTGCTTCAGCTAACTAATTTGATTGATACAAATAACTAATCAGCTATGGGTAAAATAAGCTATTATGATGCATCAGGAAACACAGTTATGTAGATGTTCATGTGTAATATGTTTGTTAAAATGTCAACTACGTATAAATGTAGCTTCATTCAAAGTGAACGTGTAGTGGCATTGGAACATAACCACACAATCTTCAAGGCTGAACATGAAACTACTCGGAAAATAGATATTCCATATTTAACGCGGAGAAATACCTAACGATGGAGAAGGCGCGAACAAAGAATTTGAATGGATTGGAGTTGATCGAATGCAGGCGTGGTCTCTGGGGATTATCACCTTATATCTCTTATTCATATTAAATATATTGTTCTTTCTCTAGCCTAAGCTTGTTCTTCATCATG